TACAGTATGTTCCAGCTTTTCACCGAGCCACAAACCATTGCTTCGACTTGATCTTGGCAGCTTTCTTCCGATTGAAGCGCCTGACGGCTGCATCCTAACCATCATGCCAGTGACCTCATGCGTCCAATTTAAGGGCACCTCATCTCGATGCCAAACCAAGCAAGTCCTGCACAATCCATGGCATGCCCACATTACAGGACCCTGAAAATCATCCATGCAGATAGACAATGATAAACATAATAATAAACCAGCAGCAATGATGCCATGCATATATATATATATATGATATGAGTCTCCAAGACGTTCCATTGAAACCACACTTCGCGGAACCTCGTTTGCTGTCCCGCTTGGACCGGAACTCCATGCGTCATCATCTAGCCATTTTACATCATTTTACACCATTCACATCACCAAGAAGATCCAGAGAATTCCAGCTCATGTGTTTTTCATTTTTAATGGGATACATCACCAACTAAAAAAACAACAACTATATCACTATATCCCTATGATATCATTCAACTTTCCAAAAATTGAAGTACCATGAAGTACCCCCAAAAAATGAATGGTTCATAGTGGACAGTTTGGGAAAAACCTCCAGCTGGTCCTGGCCCATCGCGCCCACTGATGCGCATCATGTCGTCGCTGGCATCGCGCAGGGCCGACCAGACCTCCTCCAATTCCTTGGGTTTTTTTCTGGTGAAGTCACCGGTTTGGATCGTGAAAATCCATCGGATTTCATGAACCATTAGAATCATGATGACTCATTAGATCATTGGGGATTTCGTGCGGAAAAACTGGGGGTTTAGGGATTTCATCTGTTTCATATTGATGAGTTTACGTAGATTCTTGATGTGCGTTTGATGATTTTTACCTTATGTGAACTAAAGGTCATATCATTAACAATAATATTGACAAACATGTTAGCGTGCATAATATTCACAGCTTAGGAATTGCTATATCATTGACTGATCCAGCCAGACCATAGGGGATGTTACCAACCATGAGATCATGAGGATGGGATATATACATTATGATTATAGGTAATAGGATATGTGACAAGGGAATATATATATAAAACCAACCACGATAACAAACCCTGATCATGAGTCTGGTTTTTCCATGTTTTCCTTACAAATGACTACGTTACATGGGATATAGTGGATTATTACATGAATGTGGGGTACAAGTAACCAACAATGGATACTACTATATATGATATATGATATAAACAGGTCTTTTCCACAATATTGATTTATTGGTTTATCGCTATCTTTATATTGGAGGGAAATAAACGCTTCCCTCTAAACATCGTTGATGATAAACAGTAGTTTTTCCTTGTTTTTTCCAAGGTTAATTAATGTTAGTTGGAAGATGTTGGAAGTAGAAACTGAACAGTCAAATTAAGTACAGAATCAGGGCCATTTGCCCAGGGCAGAAGGGATCGAGGGATGCCAAATATGTGGCTCATGTGATCTCGGTCCCTCTGAACTTGGGTGCCTTCCCCTTGGAAACAAAACCTCGGTGCAGTTGTGTTGAAAAGTATGGCGTGGGACCAGTGGAGATTGCACCCGCTCTCCAGGATGTCCATATCCACATCAAACCTCTGCCAGGAGGAGTTGTGGCCGTTGTGGCCGTTGTGGCCGTTGTGGCCGTTGTGGCCAAGGATCTTTATCTTCTCCGCCCCAACCAGAGTTGATCATCCCCAACATGAACTCCACCTGGTGACAGCATTGGTCTCCGGAGGCTGAAAGCTTAGTTACTCCATCCAGCCTCAAATAGCTTCAAAAAATGAAGGACCATCATTTTTGAATAAACTTCCCCTTGATCGAAATTTCCGGATCAGGGATCCTAAAGAGTAGAACATGTTAGTGACAAAATCCCTATGATTTCCAGGGAAATTGCAAACCCTGCCGAAGTTTGCACGAAGCAAACCTTGGCCATGCCTGGCCTTGGACAAAGATTCCACCCTCGGCTTCTTCTTGGAATCAGCATCTCCATCCCTAGAGACATGGCCACAGAGAAGCGATTGAGAACTGGAAGGGCACATGATCCGACAGTTCTTTCAGGATCCTGCCAGTGAAGGTTAAATTCAGATTCATTTCGTGCAAGGGATGCGAGGTGTGAGTCGCCATGAGGCTGATGCTCTTGAATCACATCGACTCAGCCAAGGTTCAGAAGAGTGGAAACTCGAAACATATCCAGAAGGACAAATATGTAGCATCACATAGCCAAATAGCTTAGTATTGCTGGGCACTTTCCCTACGTAGGGTCAGTTTCAAAGATAGATATGAGCTAACAATGATGGATGTTCCACCTCTGCCTACTGTATGGCAACCCATGGCAACCCCAAAAAGATCATCTGGTGGTTTGAGCCGCCCCTGATACGGGAGCATTGAAACCAGTAGAGCACCGTTGTTAATTTGATGTGTTTCCCCATGAAAATGGCCACAATTGGAACATTTGACCAGTTTTTTTTGATACCCTCCGGTCATCAAACGTAAGCCCTCTGTCAGCCGTTGAAAAACTGCTTAGTTTTTATCGGATTCTTCCAATGGATTGTGATATTCCCCGCCCCCAATTTTTTTTATACTATATGGTGAGCATAATCCCCTATAAACACGGGCACAAGTGAGGCCGTAATCCCAACCACCATCAACCAACCATGTTATTTTTTCAATTACATCCTATCCATTCATATCCCCATATGTTGATGATTAAAACCTTATTAAATGACCACAATCATCCACCAAGCGGGCTAGATCGCCGCCATGACCGACCAGGTGCTCAACAGCCGTCGCCAAGGCGGCCAGTTGCCTCGGCGAGGATAATACTGATGTAATTCAGGTTTGAACATCTTTGAACTTGACCTAATATATAACATATATACATAGAATTAGAATAATGTTTAATTATAGCTATATTGTGTAAGTGTGCAACTTCGCACTTGATCCAACTTTTGATTCTGCATGGCTTTGCGCGGTAGCCATCCCGGTAGCCCATCCCGGTGGCCAGCATGGCACCCAGTGGCTGCATCAAATCATCAGCACTTTGGAAGCGCTTCACGCAGTACTGACGAAACGAACGCCACTTCCTGTGGCGCCACCGTTCAAGGGAAATGGGGCGAGAACTACAGATACGCTTCGGCAGCCACATAGCTATGCAAGATCACCAATGAAAAAAAGGTAAATAATGTAAATCATGGGAAATCATCGAGCCAAATGGGCCATTTTCCGTTGCTATCTCAAACTACTGTATAGATAGATGATGCACATGATGGGGCACATGTGATGGGATGCAACCTTTGGTCTAAACTCTGTGACCCCAAAACTGGTTTCCCAATGTTTCCCAAACTTCAACAAATCACAAGCTAGGGCTCGCCCATGTTTTGCCCCAACCCAACCTCGGTGCCACACAAACCCGGCAGCGTCACCGGAACACGTTTTGTCCACTGAGGCTTCTGTCAGCTACCCCTCCGGTCATCTGGGCTCACTGGAAAGTCACAAAAAGTTAAAGAAACACAACAACAAAAAAAACAAAGATGAAGAGTAAATCTGCCTCATACTTTCTCCTGAAACATCAGGGACCATGTTCTCTTGGCTTTCCATTTCATTCCCAGCTCAGCCTTGGGGCTTTCCACCTCTCAGACCACCGGCGCCATGTATCCATCACGCACTGCCAAGGCGGAAAAGACGAAGAAGCTCAACCTGGTGGTTTCAGCCCCCTTTTTAGGGGCATCATCCCATTTTTAGGGATAGAGATGAGATAGAACAAACATATCTGACACGTAAAAAAATAGTAATTTCATGTAATTTCAACAAGAACAACAATGATGGTACATGGGTTTAATCATGGTTAACAATACAATATAATAAAATAATGATCTACTGCACTTATGGGTCCGAGCAGAAATTAAATTGGTTTTACCATAATCAATGTGTAACACTGGCCCCGGGTACTACCGGGGTATACCCTATTTTCAGACACAGAAAAACATCATCAACATGTTCAGAAAAACGAAAATCTGGGTGGTATACTCCCCATCCATGGCTAGCCAGTTGATTGGCGAATATCATCGAATATCAAAATGATGTTTGAATATCCATTGGCAATTTAATTGATCTTCAGTCATGTTTATCAATATCCATGTTTGATGTTTGAATATCCATTGGCAATTGATCTTCGTTTATCCATGCTTGGGTATGGGATGATCATCGCACAAAAAACCACGATATCCCCACGATATTGCTGCTTCCATCCCGAGAAAATTCACCCTGAGATCAAAGATCACCCCAAAAAATCCCATGAATTGCCATGAATTCCTCAAATTTTCCCAAAATCCCATGATTTTTTTTCCATCGAACTCCCCATTTAAAAAAAAACATGGTGACCGAAACCGGTGGCCAGGCCACGCACTGACGCCCAGCACGAAGCGCTCCGACAACTTGGCGTGCTGCACCAGCGTGGCCGCGACCACCGCGGAGAAGGTCAGCAGTAGAAAGGCCACCAAAGATCCAAGGCAAACGGGAAGCCAAGGAGCTGAGCTGTGCAAGGTGATCATGGCAACCTGAAGCAAACATCTTTGAGAACACGTGTATATGTATAGGTAATTTATAGGGTTTATACTATATATATATGTATATACGTATATATGATATAGTCTATACATAGTGATTCGCATATATTAACACGCATTCTATGCGTAAATAAATGTGTATATATAGTATGGTACGTGAACTCCTAAAAAGAAGGATTGCTGCTGAAAAGAACGATTGAGTAGGTCAGAGACATGTTGGACATGTTATAAATCCATTGCAATAAAGGAATGGATTATATAATATTTGGATTGACGTTGATTTAGTCAACATATACCACATGTATCTAAATGTTCTTGGATATATACATATACATATATATATATACATATCATATAATATAACCTACATAATCCCATGGCAAATGGATTTTGTAAGGATCGATCCGGTAATGAGAGGGACACAATCAAAAGGGTCTATAAAAAACAGGTAGAACCCTTTCAGCATAAGATTGCAAATGTTAAATCTACCCCTCCATGAACCACATTCGAATCCAGTTGTGAGTTGCGGGAGGATGAACGGGGGATGGAGGCAACTCAGGCAACTCTCAGAGACGGTCATCCTACCGATTCATGGTTGTGGATTCAAGTGGCTTCAGTCTTCAGGCCTCACGTTTCATCACTTTGCATATTGTTCAGGGCCCCGTTTGGGTAACATAGTGTAACATACAAGATGGCTAATGACGGCCGTGGTCAACCTATGTAAACCTAGTTTCATTATGTTTCAGAAACCATGGCTATCCAATAAACCACACCATGGCTATCCCAATGATTTGCCAATAATTTGCCAATAAACCCAAAATCACCACACCATGGCTATCCCCGGTCGATTTTCCATAGGGCCCACATCCCATGGCCTGCGTCCTGTCTCCCCACTCAGCCACGAAGACCGCCATGAAGACACGTCCCAAAGCATCGCGCCAACATGGCCCTTCTTTACCTTCTTTGCCTCCTGTAGTTTTTGTATGTTTTTTGTATGTTTTTGTTGATTTGTTCATCCCTTAAAATGACCTGGCAACAACAAGATTTTGATAGGTCACATCCATTTTCACACCAAAAAAAATGCTAACTCCCCCAACTATCCATCAAAACATCAACTGTTTTAAAATTTGCGGACTGACCCCTTTTGCGCAATGGGTTTCCCGTTAGCAGTCCCCGATGAACCCCTAAATTTTCGTGTCATCCAGCAAGCAAATGATCCCCGACTAACCACCAAAATGCCTTAAAATACATCAGCATCATGCTAAAGGACGCTTTTTTCCACCTATCACATTGTATCACCAACGAATGTTTCAAACTAACAATCCATCCAACCAGCTTCAACTCCCTCAAACCCATGGCCCGGCGCTCCTTTCATCGACTCCTGGGCTTCGTTGCTGCGTTCCGCGATGACGTCGTCCGAGACCTCACTGCTGAAGAATTCCCAGCTGTAGGCCATGGCCAGGAGGAAGAAGATGGCGGCAGTGGAAAAGCACAAGGTCCTGATGGAAATGGAAAAATCCATGGGAAATCTTGGGGAAATCTTAATCTTGGATTTCTATCGGTTTTTAGTTGATGGGAAAGCCTGGGAAAGCTGGATGTTTTTAGCTGATGGGGATCCAATTATCTGCGGAAGATTTTAAGCCTACCATGTTGAGCATGTGTTTTTTCTTCCCAAAATCATACTGGAATTGACGGGGATTAATGATCCCAAGGGCAGGGAAAACTTATCCTGCATTTTTTGAAAGCTGGTTGTAGCATATCAAATTATATAAATATCCCCATGTGCAGCAAAGATCATAGCTAAACATAGCTAAACATCCCCATTTAGCAAACTATCCAATGTTCATCCAATGATGGTCACCCATGGTCCAACGGGATGATTTTCCAAGGGCAATGCTCCTGTTTTCTCTGGAGCACCACTCCAATGATCGTAGTGGTTAGATCTCTTCAGTGAGCATGCTGAACTTGAAGTGGGATGATTTTTGAGAATCTATGAGGGTTTCTAGCAGGCTTTCCTTTATAGCCACGCCAACGACTATGGTGGTGTCGTTGCATCAAAATAGGCTCAGGTGGTGATAGAAAGCAACAAATATGTAGGCATCTTCAGAACAACAGTAGCTGCTTGGTGGTTTAAGCCACACCTCCCAAAAATGTAAAATGAAATTAGTCACTTGGAGTTATGGAGATATAACCCAAAAATACCCAAAACAAATTATGGTTGGCTGGTGGCTTTATAATTACTTAACTATAATATCATGAATAACCCCATGAAACAAAATATTAGTTTGCTATGACCCTACTAGTCATCCCAGTATCATCCTGGTCCCAGAATGGACCCGACCCCAGCGTCGTCCTGATGGAAAAGAACTGGGAGATGGTCACCCCCAAACCAGCGGCCAAGAAAACGTGCAGAGACAAGGCCAAGGAGCCACCAATGAAACCTGCGAAGCGGCAAAAGGCGAGTCACAAAAAAAGGGCCCGAAAAACATGAACATGAAAAAAAAATAGCCATCCTGGAGTAGATGGCATGTTAATTAATAAACCTAAACTGGGCACATGTTTGAAAATTCCAGATTCTATCTACTTCAAGATTATACATAATAACATAATATATATACATATATATATTATTTTTCATGAAAGTCATTGGCAGTCGTTGGGCCAAATCATTCCATCTCTGTGACCAAAAAAACAAACGGAACATCCTGCTTTGCGGCAGCCAGAAACTGATCTTCCTGCCGTATTGCAGGGCACAAATCAGCGCCACAAACCAAGTCTTGTCGAAGATTTCCGCCACGCCGACCACACAGAAGGAGCGAAGCACCACATCCTTGGACCATCCAAAGCACCAACCCAAAGTACCATCCAAAAAAACCATGGATGGCAATGGAAATACAGCATCCCACTTACTTGTGGATACATATGCTTCTCATCGCCTACACACACACTTGTATATATAATATGATATATATAAGAGTTTTATATGTGCATATACAAAAACACACACACACATATATATATATGTATGTATGTATGTGTGTGTATGTGTGTATGTGTGTATGTGTGTCTGTGTGTCTGTGTGTCTGTGTGTCTGTGTGTCTGCGTGTCTGTGTGTCTGTGTGTATGTGTGTGTATGTATGTATGTATGTACGTATGTACGTATGTACGTATGTACGTATGTACGTATGTACCTATGTACGTATGTACGTATGTACGTATGTAGGTATGTAGGTATGTACGTATGTAGGTATGTAGGTATGTAGGTATGTAGGTATGTAGATATGTAGATATGTAGGTATGTAGGTATGTAGGTATGTAGGTAGCTAGGTAGCTAGGTAGCTAGGTAGGTAGGTAGGTAGGTAGGTAGGTATGTATGTATGTATGTTATGTATGTTATGTATGTTATGTATGTAATGTATGTAGTGTATGTTATGTATGTAATGTATGTCATGTAAGTCATGTATGTCATGTATGTAATGTATGTTATGTATGTTATGTATGTTATGTATGTTATGTATGTTACGTATGCTATGTATGGTTTGTATGTTTTGTATGTTATGTATGTGATGTATGTGATGTATGTGATGTATGTGATGCATGTGATGCATGTGATGTATGTGATGTATGTCATGTATGTTATTCATGTTATGTATGTTATGTATGTTACGTATGTTATGTATGTTATGTATGTTATGTATGTTATGTATGTTAAGTATGTTATGTATATTATGTATGATATGTATGTAATGTAAGTTATGTATGTTATGTATATTATGTATGATATGTATGATATGTATGTAACGTATGTCATGTATGTCATGTATGTAATGTATCTTATGTATGTTATGTATGTTATGTATGTTATGTATTGTATTGTATTTTATTGCATTGCATTGTATTGTACTGATCTGTATTGTATTGTATGTATGTATGTTAGTTATGTATGTATGTATGTACGTATGTACGTATGTACGTATGTACGTATGTACGTATGTACGTATGTACGTATGTACGTATGTACGTATGTACGTATGTACGTATGTATGTATGTATGTATGTAATGTATGTAATGTATGTAATGTATGTATGTATGCATGTATGTAATGCAATGCAGTGCAGTGCAGTGCAGTGCAGTGCAGCGCAGTGCAGCGCAATGGAATGGAATGGAATGGAATGTAATGTATGTATATATATAGGGAGTGGGGCGCCACCAGGTCCCCAAAAATACGTGGTTTTAAGCGTTTTTTTGACTGTTTTATGCTTTTTTCCTCTTTTGATCATCATATATGAAAGATCAAAGTTCTTGGGGGATGCACTGTTTTTGGTTTGTTAATCTCTATTCTTGGTTGCTTGCTTTTTGTAGCTCTATTGTTTTTTGATAGGTGGTCTTAGCGCATGAATGGCAAAGTTCTTTGCCCAACAACATCTTGAAACATAGAGATTCATTGTGTCAGTTGGTACGTCATGTTTTTATTAATGTATAGGTACTACCTAGGTATACAGCTATTGCAAAGACAATATATATATACATACATATACATAGCACTTTGTATTTGCAGTGGTGGTTTTTGATATTGGATTGCCAGGTCGCCTTTTGGTTGACATCATAGTTCCAGTGGAACTCTTTTAGTACATGAAAGTGCAAATTCCAATCTACTCTCCCTCCTCAAGTAGTTGCACTTTTTTGGCATACTTCATGGTAACTTGCTGCGTCAATGCACAAGCAAGGCAGCCATTCTATAGATACAGTTGTTGGGTAAGGTTGCTGAAGTGTTTCCTTTTACTTGGTCTTGTGCCCTTCTGGTTACCACGATGAACTTATACTGACATAGTTTAAGTTTTGCCCACAGCCATGAATACATTTATGATAATAAAATGTCTGCCATTATATTTGCAGTGACACAGCAAATTACCATGGAATATGCAGGTAAAAACGCATTTTCTGAAGCAAGGGGGGAATGGAAGTGCCCCTGGAATTTGCCAACTCTTGTGATCAATCGATATTTTAAGCAAAGATCTTTTACTGCATTGAAACCTGGAAGAATACCATTGCATATGCAGGAAAAATGTAGAAAACTTGCGTCTTGAAGGGCATAGGTGACTGCCACCCATTCCATAACTGTATGTACTATATTAGGAAAATGTATATATATAATATTTGCATTCTAAGTGCAAATGCAGCTTGGATGTGTCGACACAGCAAATGGCTATGGTATCTGCAAAAAAAAATATAGCTTTTATCGCAAAATACCCTCTAGATATCAGTGTATGTTCGAAGCTGCCAATTCTACTGTATATATACTGATACTGCACACTTGTGACAATGCGCTTGCATACTAGTTGAAACCATTCACCCACTAAAGCACAAGCAACCCCTGAAACTTTTCATACAGTTTATAGATCAAAGAATTAAGAACAAGAGTGAGTATTGGTCAAAAGGATGGAGAAGGGACCCCTTTCCATATGAATGCATTCTGGGGGCTGCTACTTCCTAGTCCAATGTGTTGTGTCATAGCTGTTTTCTGTCAAGTTTTATAAACAGTCTTACCTCTTTTTAGGTGTTACTCATCCTGTCATAAAAGATTATAAAAGCACAGCCAAGCAATGATGGGAACAGGGTACCTGGATTAGATATGCAATGGCATAGCAAATTACTGTGAAATATGCAGGAAAAACATATTTTTGGAGAAAGGGTAAGTTGGAGCTGCCCTTACCATGTGCCAACCCTTACGAGCAAAGTCAGTTGCAACCAAAGAGTCTTTATTGCAGTCAATCCTGGAAGAATTCCTTTACATATGCAAAGTACATGTGGGAAATGCGCGTACGTATTGCTATGCGCTACTTATGTAGCATCCATATCATAGATGCATACAGTAGTACTACTACAAGGAAAATGCAAGTCCATCAATGTATATAGGAGGGCTATATATAGAAGGGCTAGGAGAGGGAAGAAGCTCATTAAAATAAAGCTCCCTTTCCTTGGCCACCTCTCCCCTAATGTATACACACACACTATGTTTGTTTTCCCTCCTTCCTTTTCCCAGGGGATCTTCATGACTCTCTGGACATTCTTTGGCAACCTGTGGCAACCTGCCATCAGGGAGAGGCTATGTACATAGGAGGGCTATGAGAGGGGATAAGCCCGATTTGTTTCTTTTCGTTTTTTCCTTGGCCACCTCTCCCCCTAAGGGAAGCCATATAATATATATATATACACACACTATGTTTGTTTTTCCTCCTTCCTTTTCCCTGGGAATCTTCATGACTCTCTGGACATTCTTTGGCAACCTCTGACGAAGTCTGACAATCTGTGTGGATCTCTAGCAATACCATCACAGGTATGTGAACATAAAGGATTGAACATGATGTAGCAAAAACATGCAAAAACACTGCATTTCCAGAAACGTGGAAAAATGGGGACCTGACAGCGTCCCTTTCTGTATATATATATATATATATACACAGCTGAAATAGACTTCACTGCAGAGACACTTGCCAAAGTTGTAGCCAACCAATCGGAAAGAACCACATAAGACAACTCATTAACAGTCATCAACATATTTTTCAACATTCATCAATTCATCATTACCGAATTTTGGTGGTTTCTTAGAGTGGGGGATCCCCAAGTCATCATGGGTTTCAATACTACGTCATGGTCATCCATGACTTGGATGATTGGGGGGGTTACCCCCATTTTGTGAAACATCCGTTTATAGGTGATTTATAGTGTTTTATAAATATGATGGGCTAAAATGGGTTACAAGGGGTTATAAACTAAGTAAAAATAAGTAAACTCACCCATGGGAAACCTCCATATCTTAAGACTCCATGCCAGGCCACCATTTGACTGGCCAGGTTTATCATCGAGCGCTTGAGCCCTGTCCTTTTGATCGCGGAACTCGTCGGCGTCGTGGGCGTCGTCCCTGCGATCAACGGCGCGTGAAGCTCCTCCGGGGGGGCGCTGAAGCCGCTGCGGGTGCTAAGGGCGGCGGTGCGGAGCACCAGCAGGGCGAACAGAGTGCACTTCATGGACGAGACGAAATTCCCAGGATTGACTGGGACAAGAATAGTTGGAAATTCCCGAGATTCGAAGTGAATCGGGAACTGAGTCAATAACAGTTCGCTAGGCAGATGAATGTCGTCGTGAATGCTTTTTTGAGCCGAAAAAAGTGATGGAGGTAGCGTGAGTCGTTCAAATGCATGAAGCCTGAGCAACTTTCAACCATAATGTTGCGTCCTGACTAGTGTAAGGCCCCCCCAAGTAAGGAATTCAACTGGCTACAATTCAAATCTAATTATATAAAACTTGTTTTTGCCGCTGAACTTGTGGTATTTGTAGTACCTTGTAGTGAGTGGGATTCAACATGTTGACTGCGTTACCTTTTCCACCTTAGTTTTCTATTCAAAGTGTAAAGAGAAAGAGAAAGAAAAATAGAAAGGGAAAGAGAGAAAGAGAAAGAGAGAGAGAGAAAGAGAAAGAGAAAGAGAGAGAGAGAGAGGAAGAGGAAGAGGAAGAGGAAGAAGAAGAGAAACAGGAAGAGGACGAGGAAGAGGAAGAGGAACAGAGAGCGAGAGGAAGAGGAAGGGGAAGGGGAAGAGGCAGAGGAAGATGAACTCAGTATCAGCTCTGGAAAAGTTTGCTGCAATTGTTAACAGTGAGAACAAACCGACTAAAGTGAACTGGACCCTCTCATGGCCCAGTGCCTTGGAAATTTGTGGAAAAACTGTTCTTTAATAAGGGTATATAAGGGTTTAATAAGCGGTCTGATTCTTCTGGGAATGGCTTGGACTTTGAACTTCTCAATTGCTTTTGTAAAAGGCTTTTCTTTCTTCTCTTGGCTCCAGGATCAGCTCTGGAAAAGTTTGCTGCAATTGTGAAACTTGAGTCTGATTCTTTTGGGACAGGGAGACAAGCAATATGTTTTTCTCAAAAAAATATTCAGATTTTTTTACACTTTTTTGTTGGACAAAAAATGGTCTCCCAAGATTTCTTGCCACAATAGTGAACCTTCCAAACAACGCATGGGTTCAGAATAATTTGGAGAATTTTTGTCACAATAGCGAACCTAGCCACTAATCGGTCATTTATCCTCATAGTACAGTATCTCAGAGTCGCCGTGCTGAAGTTGTGTCCATTTCATGCCGACGAAACAAAATAGAAGGCACACGGAATACAGGCCAATTTCGTCCTGCGATTCTGCATGGCATCCACCCACCAAACGCCTCCAAAGCCTATAGCCTATAATTAATCTACATGGAGCCCTCACACAAAAAACCCTTGGTCTTCCTGGTGTTTGGTGACTTTCAATTTTGATCCACAGATGATTGATGATTTATTGCAACTTCCAATCAAGCAACGCCCCCAATTTATGCTTCACCGTAAAATCTCTCCGGCCAATCTCTGGGCACAGGCCGCCAGGCCTGTCCGAAGCCATGTCAATCTCTTCGAGAGTGATTTCACCAGAAGAATCTTTGTCCAACAGATTGAAGAGCTTCATGGCCGCAACTTCACCATTAAAGTCTGGGCGGAGCGCGGAGCCAGGGACTTTCATCACATTGGAAAAAAAGAGGAGGCACCCTGACATGGCAAGGGAGCGACTGCAGCTGGTAATCTTACACTTACCATCTGGTTATTTATATAACATAGCCATGGAAAATCACCATTTTTTATAGGTAAACCATCGATTTCTATGGGCCATTTTCCATGGCTATGTATAATAACCAGAGGGTATTTTTGGAGAGTTCTATTCAAATGTGCCTGAAGGTGCCAGCCAACTATGTGGCAGCATGTTACATACCCCATGGAGCATATGCAAATTCTTCTATGTCGCATGGCTCAGGTGGTTCAGCTTGGTCTCAACGCACAACAATACAAGCATATATATATATTATTGCATTTTTGGATTTTCACAAAATAATCTTTCATGTCCATTCATGTCTAGCAGCACACCGAATCGATGCAGCAACTTGACTGTAGCCTGTCAAAAATTGGCCTCTATTTGGAACCCGAACAACGAAGGTTATTGGTTGTTTGAGCCCGTTTTCTCCCAGCAATGAAGATGCCCAATACCAATCAATACCAAACAAATGCTGGTCATGGAAAGGACCCATTGCAAATAGAGGGCTGCCCATACTACAGTTACTACATGACGCAAGACCTACCAGCGTTCATCCTTCCAATAAAGTAGAACAAACCAGAACGTGTGGGACAGCGGAAAAAAACCTCTCAACCAAGTCTCTGAGTTTCTTCATGCCACTCTTGAATTCTTCTCGGCTGATTCGCTGATCATTGTTCGAATCAAAGACCTGAAGGAGACGTTTGGTAACACTGACGTATTTTACGCAACAGTATCTTTTTCCGGCATGGGTTTCTGTGAAAATGGAGGATGCAAAAGTGAAACAATTCTACATGTCATGGTGTATCATCATGTTGCCCCCCAGTTATAAGTTGGTTATACCTACCATAAACCATAGTTAAGCCACTTATAAGGCAACTCAGCTATCTTGGGGGGCCCATCCTGTACCTATCTTTAAAAAAAAAAAACTATCTGATCACCACTGGTGACACGCCCAGGCACGTGCGCCCAAGCACGAAGGACGGAGCCACAACTGTCCTTGAGAAACCTGGATGCGCCAAGCACAGGGCCCAAGTCATAAGGCCGTTTCTTTCAAACAAACATATGCATTACATGGATTTACATGTTCTTCATAATTAATTATGTGTGCATCGCATCACTTTACATTTGCCTCATTTTGCCTCATACCATTGTAATAGGATGAATGACATCTATGAGACTAAACTTTAGGACTAAACCATTCTTGAACTGGGTAATCAAAAGAAGTGAGTGCAATGATAATTAATACTGATCTCCGTCATCTGACGAAGCAGATTGAGCCCAACTCCGAGTTTTTTCTTTTCTCATACGTGAACAACCATGTGGATACATGAGTAGTTTGACCATTTTTGACCCCCCAAAAGACAACTGTTTTTTGGCGGCCCCGGCACTCCCGCAAACGATCCGGCGCCAAAGGCTGTGCTTTGCTTTCCTCCAGCTGCCTCAGCTTGAAGTGATCATTTAATGAAGACGGCGAATGACTTGTTGCTGTGTAAATATATATATATGTATATAATATGATAATATATTGACTATTGTTAATTATTACTATTGATATGTGTGTATATGCAATAGAAACGATATGATCTGATATGATATGAAATGATATTATATATTATTATTGGATAGATAGCTTACCAACACTGCATGATGCAGGTGAAACTGGAGTCGACGCCACCAGAGTCTCAACACGGCCGAGCGTCTCGAGTTCACGGAGATCGGCCAAGGAGTTCTCAACGTTGGATTTTCCAAGGGACTGACGCAAACGTCGCTAAGGTCGTTTCGAATTGCCAGTCTTGGGGGGAAAACAAGACTTATCTTCACATCCCGATTTCTTGCTGCTCACTATAAATCACAACCGGTTAGTTTCCCCCATTCTTGTTGAAATATGAAATTCATATATCATGATATATCATGTATGTATCCCATCATCTTCCCATATCTTTGGATGCTAAAATCTCCGTGAATCCATATTCATAGCTGCCATAGCTGCCATGACCCATTCCTCCGAAGTATAAGTCTACCAGGTTTACCAATAATATCCCATATTATCCCAATAATATCCCAATAATGAACCAAAATAATTGCAAGAATTTGGGCAAGATCCAGCCCTCATTCCCATGCCCCATCTTCCAACCCTTGGAGAGTTGGCCTTGGTGGGCTTCACACCCAAGCCTGGTGCAACACGCTGCCTGGACATGGACACATTGGGTCAGTGCTGTAGGGGAATCAATGTTTAGACAGGTTATGGATGGTTATGGACCGTTTGTGAACTTGTTTTTGACATTTTTTTTTTCGACTGGTTCTTGTTTTTGGGTTCGAAACGGTTTAAGGTCCCCAGGATTTAGGCGGATCGACCTGCAATTATGGAAGTTCTTGATTTTCTGGTGCTCAAGAAGCATGGAAAAAGTTGGAAAAAGTGACGGTTACTCCCATGCTGCAACGCTGTGCCATGCCCAAACCAGTTGGTTCCCAGCCTCTGTCTTATCATCAGCCGCAGCCCGGGCTAAAGGATGCCATGGCTGCAAAACTTGAGCCACGCGTCTTCCAGGGGTGGCTGACACGGCAAGAAATCGACACTAAATCCAACAAAGCTGATGATCACCACAGTTGATGAATGCTTGGTGACTCTTTAGTTTACATCAGCATGTATCCCGGTCAATAGGGATGGTACTGGAGTCACCAACCATGAACTTACAGTAATTCCGGGACAATTTCTCCATCTGGCACACCAAGTCGCTTCTCCGGCAGAACTGTTTTGCTGCTCACCTGCCACAGTGGATGTCAGATCAATCCGGCAGCAACCCTTCAAGAGCATCAGAACCAGGATGTTCAGAAGATTTCAGAAGGTTTAACATTCGGGTCTTTTTCACCTCTGTTTCTAATCCCAAAAAGTCACCGTTTGGTGAGACATCAAATTAGAAACATTGATTGTTCACATCTAGCCCCTGTAAAAGATTGATTGTTCTATACTGTTCTCCTTATTTTTTGCAGCTTCCAACTGTTCGCCCAACGGCCTTGCAGACACAAAAAAAAAACATGAACCAACTGGCCTGCCGCACCCATCTCCGCCACACGTTGCGTCGCGTCGGCGACATGGCGACTCATTGCTGTCACATCAAGGCGGTCTTTGGGTGCTTTTTTGGAGAAATATCCTTCTGGGTAAATTATAATAATTCATCAACCTGAATTAAGGCCATTTGGGGATGATTTCCCTTATTAACCATGATTCCAGTGAGGTCGCAGTGAGGTCGTTATAATTTACCCAGATACTTGGTCACCCCCGAAATTATACCATGGAACCATCCAACAACTGGGAATTTCATGGGATGTCTATTATTCTGAACATGAATCGTACTGCATTGAGTGATGAAACTTTGAAAGGATCCGATTTGGCAACACCAAAAAATAATATAAAAATTGCCTGTGTCACCTTGGGCCAGTCTGAATTAGGTGATGGACTTGTTCTTTTCGCTCAAAGTTTGCTGGGAGTTGTGTGAGCCTCGGTGGATCTGGTCAGCCGGCGCTAGAAATCGCGATGTCTGCAGAAAACGTTGAAACAAGGGCACTCAACACACCCACAGAAAAAAAACGGATGGAGTTCTGATCTGGTGCCTGATCCATATGAAGAACTGGCCTAGTGGTGCCGCCTTTCTCTGATTAGATTACCCTCCGTGAAACACAAGTCCATATACAGCGGGACTCTCTATGACTCTCTAATAGCAATCCTGCAGTCATCTAACATACGAGTAGCAATCGAAAATTGACACGTTCAATCGGCTCACAGGTCCTATATAATTAAGAATGATGACGACAAAAGCAACCAGTTCACAAGTCCTAAAGGGTTCATGGTGGATTATCATGCAACCACGACCCGGCCCTCAATGATCCTTAAGAATTGGCAGATTGATATGTTTGCTTTTGAAAATTCTCAATCCAGCTGGAATCTGGAATCCATCTGCAAAGTCTCAGCTGCCGGAGTTCGAAGCGGGTGCCCGAATGGAAAGCACCGTGCATATCACTACACCACGTCCATGTCCAGTGCAAACTTGATCAGAATTATATATACCAACATTTGCGAGCCTCCAAATCCCCATCATATATTTGAAAAAAAGGAATTAGTATGGTATGATTTAGTAAGGATGCTAATTAACCATGCCGCCTCCTTCCCAGAAAAATAAAAAGTGAACAGAGAATACCATCCACCACCCCATCTCTGTGCCCTAGAGGCGCCGCACTGCGAAGGGCTTCCTCAGCATCGAAGTTGCACCTGGTGCTTATCCCATGCCAAACATCCCCGTTGATATATCAAGATTATAAAGGATTCTCCACAACATGGGATATTCCATGTGCCAAGCTTCTCGACATTTTCAAATAGATGCTCTTGTATTCAAACCTGACAACGGAAAATCACTGTAAATCACCCCATTTATAGATGATTTCCCGTTAAACTTGTTAAATCCTCCATTTCTAGAGGGGTTTGCCATTGAAACCTCCATTTAGTTCGAAGATTTTCAATGATTTTCACACCCTTCTTCCAGCCAGACAGCTTGGAAAAAAAACACATGGCAGGCCCACTTCGCAGGAGACTTTGTAGGAGATGCCTCGGGAGGGTTTGAGGATTCGTCTGCTTGTTGCGTGCCATGTTGCAACATGATTAGTTGGCAACCCCCGAAAAGACAGAAGCTGGTAAAATATGGTAAAATCCAACGAAAATTGGAGCCAAAATAGTGATAGATTGAACCAGTTCTATCTTTGGGGGGGTGACTTTACCAAAGTGCCTTGAAGTGAAGGATACTTCAGTGTGATGATTGGCAAGAATATGCCAGGATGTTTAAGAGAGTTTCTCTACTCATGACCTTTAAGCGGATGGGGCTCCAATCTCACGCCAGGGCATAATCGCAAACAGGATGTGGATAACAGGGGCCGCTGTATCAACGCTCTAAGGCCACGACCGTCTTCTTTGGTGTGGTGCTTGGCCGCTTATTCTCCTGTGACCCCCTTTTCTTTGGGGAGATGGGATGAGTCCAAACCGGCATCCGGCTCATGTTGGAACAAAATTAGGTACAAAACGGGTGCAAATGACTAGTCCAGTCTAATCTCTTCTGCGCCTTGGGGGATATTCAACCGGCTACACTACGAGGGCTTTGACCACCACGCACATCATCATATCTTTGGAGCATCCATAATTGCATTGCAAGTGGGAAGGGTTCTAAATCCACAATCCAAAGCTCGCTTGTGATGGTCACATTTTGGCAATTTGAATCTATAATAATATTATATATATAGTATATTAATGTATATTATATATATATAAGTCATTGGGGACCACATCCCCCACAAGCAGGTGGCATTTTTGGTAACATCACAAATCATCACAAGATGGCGTTGGCATCTTGAGGCAGCATAAAACCAAGTCACACCTTTTGAATCGCATGGCTCTCCAATCGTGCAAGATACAAAGGGATGGAGCGGGCATAAATTGAATTTGAAAGGCGGGGGTGAGAAGAGAGAAGAGGAAGACAGGTGCGCAATCACAACTAGTTCCTAAATAGTGTTATTTCACAAGAAATTCCTTATAATGTTTCTCAGTCTCCCCAGCCCCAAAAAGAAACTTGCCTGAATTTAATGCACCAAGTCAGGTGCAAGCTGTGCTGCTGTTCTTGAGACAGCTGTGCACTGTTCTAATGTGATCCCAGCTTTAAAGACCAACAAAACACATGGAATAATGAATCACAAGGGGGAATTCAAAATGTCAATACTGTTCCAAGCTACAACTGGCCCCATGGCAGCGGCATCACGTTCCCACTGCTGGGCTGCAAGGACTCCCCGAACACTCGGAATCTTCCTGGCGAAGCTGGTGCATGCTGGTGCAGCTTCAAGGCTTCCCTTCTTGTGCCCAGAATCTTATAAACAGAACTCAATATGTTTATTATGTTTTATTTCTCATGTTTGATCAGGTTTTTATATATATATATATCTGTGTGTGTGTTGTTTCCCGGTTTTATATTTCTTGATTGTTTGCTGTGCACCTGTTTGACCGGTTGAAGTTGGACATGTTAACTGTGAGGCCCAACCTTCAATTCTGGGTTATGCATGCCATTTTCTCCTCGGGTGATGTTGGTGATGACTTGGTAAGTCAGCATGAAATCCCCATTGGAGTAATTAATCCCCATGTCATCGGGTTACCATTGATCCATTGACCCATTGACCCAATGGATCGCTCCTCGGGAATGCATGGCATTGTTCCCATTGTTGACATGGTTGTGTCAAGGCTGTCCGCCTGCCGCAAACAGCAGGAAAATGCTTGTTGACATGGTTGATGACGGAAAACCTATGGGAAAATTAGAAAAACAAGCTTAAATTTAAGAGACAAAACTTTCAATAAAAACACTGTTTCTCATAGATCTTCCAGGATTGTCCCTAAACCCAATGACTCCAAAAACTGACCATCTCTGTCCAGCTCAATGAGAACGGTGCACGGTACACTGGTACACCTCTTCGGATTCCGAAGTGCCATCCCAGCCTGTGCCAAACATGTCTCTTGACGCTGCTCCACCGACCTGCCAGCATGCACCGCGGATGCACATGGATGAAGCCGAAGCTGTTGATGAATATCCATGAATCGAGCAGGCAAATCCTCTGAACTAACATGAACTTATATATATATATATACTGTATACTATAGGTAAATCATCTAGAAATTTGAAATGGGACAAATCTCGGCAAAGTCAACAGTTAAATAACCTACAAATGGTGATGGACGCTACGCCTCGGCTGGGCGCTGTGGGCACCACTGGCTTCTGGTAGCTCGTTGAGCGTCAGCTCCTGGTGACCCTTAAAATTAATAGCCTTGCATGGCCTTTGCTGGATTGTGTATGATAAAATCATTCAACATGTTTTGGTCACTAACCATGAAAATCATGAAATATAGAGCACATGATATAGTGCTGCTAAATGTTGAAAATTGTTGAAAGATCATATCAGTTTGAGATATTTTGAGACATACCCAATACAAGTAGCCACTTTGGAAGTGGCGAAACAGACCATCTTGGAAATACATTTGGCAGAAAAGAGGAACAAGGAGACATACAGAGAAGTTGGAAAAGGCAAAAAAAAAGAGGGATGGCAAGAAAAAGAAGGAGGCTTGCTGAAAGCGTTGAAGTAAGGGACAAGACAAGCCGACTGATAGGGAAGCAGGGCAGGCATTTGTCAAAGACAGCGGTCTGAGAATCAGCGAGACGGAGATGATGCAAGAAAGCACTGAAGAGGGAATGGGGCGGGTCCGCAGCCAAGGGGCTCGACTTGAAATTCATGACCTTGGCTATTAACGGGGCTTACCCCCAAAACCAAAAAATCAGAATTGGTACTCCCCAATATACAATGAACTGGGGCTAGCAAATCCTGCTATATTGACATCTTGAATCTCCCAGTCGTTTTTCCGTCGTCCTGCACCAGTTGCTTCAGGGCCATCACCGCCTCCTTCAGATGTGCTCGTTTCAGCTCCGCCGGTGCCTCCGGGGGCAGCCGCATCATCTGTAGCAGCGATGCGCCGGAGCCGGACACGGCGGCCGCGTGGCAACGTTCGCGACGTTGGAGCTCCTTAGTGGAGGACATGGTGAAAAATTGGGATGATTTAAGGGAAAATCAATAGGAAACGAAGCCTTTCCCGTCAAAATTTGGAAATTCTCTTAATTACATCCAATGACACCTGTAAAATTCAAACAATATCAGCATCAATACTTCGGTATATATTTCATATTCACACTATCATTTTTGTGAAGAACACATCTGCCATCCAAGAATACTGTGAGGAAATAAATCAGAAAACTATCACATCAAGAATACAATTAATCCTATTTGCTCTTTGACTAAAATAGTTTGCTTCTACTGAAGTGCTTGACATTGGCTGGCTATCTTCACCAACTACAATCTACAAAGAGAAATCCATACGAAACATTATGAAACAATCTACGACCACTTCATGCAAACTCTTAATATGCGTTTTTTTGTGTCCCCGAAACCATCTATAGTATGAAATTCGATGGCAAAATAATCTGCTCAAAACATAACTGTAAAAAAAAGTCCATATGCGTGTGTCCACAAATGGCATGTCACATGCTATGATTGGCGCTTAGTTTTTTCAGACCAACCCATATTGCGACCCTCAGAAACATAGAAATAGATAGAATTAGTAAAAAATCTTACACATCCTTACACAAAAAATGATACATGTTTTTTCATTTTTTTGGTTGATGCCATTCATGAAACGATCCGATGCACTCAAAAATTCAAATTTGCAATTAAAAGCCAAACACCTGTCCCCCACCAAAAAAAAAAACTATATTTTAAAACAATCCCGAACAAAGGAAAAAAACAAAAACATGGAAAATTAAATTCTAGTATAAAAATATTGAACCTTTTTATGCTTGGTGGTTTTAAATGGTTTTCAGAATATCCATAAAATCCCGGGAAAAAAAAACAAATCTGCATTCCAGGCACCGCCTCCTGCATCTCCAAACTGAGGATCTCCTGTTGCCTTCGTGTCTCCGCCATCTCCAGTCGTGCCTCGTGCAGCTGTTGCGCCGCCCGGCGCTCAGCCAGGCGCTCAGACTGCTGGAGAGCCGCCACCTGGCGGAATCCCATGGAAATCCCATGGAAGAATGGTGGCCGTTTCATGATGTTTCATGGATTTCCCCTGGAAATCCATGAATCATGGGAACTTGGTGGAAAAACATGTAAAAATGGTGATCCAACTTGATCCAACCAGCTAATTGAATGGACAATCATCAAACTCATGGGTTGGTTTGTCATGTTTTATCTGAGCCATGTTCTAAATTCTAAATGTCTTACATCCTGGCACCAAATAAAGAAATGCTTACGCGTACGCCATTGCTTACGGCTTACGTGCGCACAGGTTTTGCTTACCCGCATATCTTGTCTTACGCGGAGCTTGCGCTGGCTTACGCGCACCACAGTTCTGCTTACGCCACAGCCTTACAAGGGGCCCCTTGCTTGACATGAACACAAGGGTTTAGAACGAGAACAAGTCGTTGGCCACGTGGTGTCTTTGCACACCTCAGCAAAATGTTGCCAGTTACTATCAGCGCCATGCCGCTCCATGGTGCTGGAATATTTATCAACAGCCCTAATAATCACCCAAATGTAAGTAAATAGGTTATCGCCGCTGATGGTGCTGGTTATAAATAAATATTATAGACCAACAATGGTGCTCCTATTTACCAACATCCCCAGCCCTAATAATCACCTAATAATCCCTAAATATACCATACTTACATGGAGCACATGGGATGGGCATAGACCAACAATGTTGGCATCAAAACATGGTGCTCCACCCGCACCTGGCGTTCTCGCTCTGCCAACTCTGCACGGAGCTGTTGCTCGGTTGCTGCGCAGCATGCGTCAGTCCTGTCGTTGGACACGGGCGTTTGGTAAAAGACTTGGCTTCAAAATTGGATTGAATTACAAGAATTATACCAGCAACATGTGTCAAAACATGTCAAAACTATGGATGATGTGATACTATGTGGTATAAATTACATTCTAACTTTGTTTCAAGTCAACCTTGCTGTCATTGTCAGCCTCTTCATCTTACTTCCACGACCCATCATCACCCATTCAAACCGCACAACCAACAGGAAAGGAGGTCGGAGAAGCGGTTTCGTCTCAAAAAAATTACCCCTTAGATTTCCTGCCATGTATCAGTCTCTCATAGTTTCTCCAATTTCCCCATTGAAACCGAAAATGCCATGGCCCCGATATCCCCACCACCCGAACTGCTGCACCTGTCGGTTCCGCGCCGATCCGACGGTGGGGAACACACCGCCAGGCGCCGGATCTGTTCTTCGCGGTCGTGCAGCAGCCCCGTGATCTTCCTTGGGAAAGCACCACATGAAAACTCTGAGGGAAAAGTTGGGGACTTCCCCCCAAAGCATTTGACTTATCAGAATCCAGACTGCACTAAATATGTTCAAGAGTAAACACTAACATATATAATTCTATATATTATAATTATAAAATATATAATATAATAGTAATATTAAATCCCATTAACCTGCCAAATTCCAAAAAAATCCACACATACTGGGCGGACGTCGTTTCTTACCCCAGGCACCCAGAAGTTACCCCATCCCCATGGCACACAGGGTTACCCCAGGCAAACCGGAAGTTACCCCAGGACCAAATCCTATTGGCACACTGGTACCACGCCATCGTTTGTTTGGCAAACAAAGTAGTTAAAATGTGTCCGTGCCATTGCGAAACACATATTTAATACCATCTCCTTCGGTGATAAAACCATGTTGAAAGTTGGCAACCGCCAGTGGCACACACGCATTGACAGCAAAACAGCTGCTTTCCATCCAAATGAGAAAAGAAGCCAATTCTGCAGCACACGCCCCGTTTTCTTCTCATGACTCTGGACATGGATTCGTTTGATTTCGGTACTTTAATTATCTGCTTCCCAATGGCACACCTAGTGCGAAATAAGTCGTGCTAAGCATCTCTGACCCGAGCCCCGGCGTGATCCTACGCCCATTTACTAGAACTTGCGCCAGCCGCATGGCACCTTGCTTACGCCAGACATCAATAATCTTCCGCCAGGTGGAAATCCCATTGGCACACCGACGGTCAAAGTGGACTAACTCTGAAGCAGGCAATACTATGCGTTTAATGTAAGTTCGTTAACCAAAAGTTAGCAACCATATTCCTGTTTGAACAGTCAGAACTATCATCCTCCACATGGCACACCAAGTTTCATGGCATTGCGAAGCCTTTTCCAAAACCTCTCCGGGCTGGGTTTTGACTGGCTGCAATTTAAACAAGGTCCGAACGAGGTGCAAACGAGGTCCAAACGAGGTCCGAAATCAAATTTTGGGAGACTGACCCCCTAAGTCTCCTGACATACCCTTTGGTAGCGACAAAGGGACCGTGATAGCCAGGAAAGCACCGTGTGCCTATGCGAAGTGCCAAAAAATACATCAGTAAGTTAAAGTCATAGGCGCTGCCCATGTGGGCCTCTCCCCATTCCGCACAGGCACACCACGATTTGGCACAAGATCTTGTCATCGGCACTTGTTACAACATCGACCCAGCTCCCAAACTTGAACCCACTAGCACCAAATGGCAGGCACACCGATGTTGGCACAAGATCTGTCGTGCTGCTCAAAATCATTGAAACACCCAGGGCCACACATTCTCTTTGACCGAGCATGCCACTGCGTTTGGATGTCACAAGTATCAAACCAAGTATACTCATAATAAACAAACACGTTTATGACAATCAGTGTGCCCCTGCGTTGTGTGCCCTGCAATGGACAAACAAACAATAAGAAGGTTTATGACTACAAATGGTAGATTCATGTAGGTGAAGTTCAGCGTGCCTATGCGTTTTGTGGTCTTACAATAAGCAATGATCCAATGGAATAATAATATCATATATATCCTTTATACACACTTCCCCACGGCACACCGACCTGAGACAACTTCAGGGGAGCCGAGACAAGAAACAACATGAACCCAGTATCACATATCCACACTATACCCGATGAAATTAGGGTGTACAAACAAAAAATGGTGATTTTCAAGTAACCGACATGAACCAGAAAGCGACATGAACCAGTTGATGGTTGGGTCCAACATGGTCCAACAATCTGGGGCTCCCAGGTTGGGCTGGAAACTCACGAAGCATATAATGCAACCAAAGAGCAGTTGACACTGCTGAATCTGAAAACAGCCCCCTCAAACAAAAATGCGAAACCCCAAAAAAAACTCTGCCCAAGATTGTCCAAGTCTTTCCCCTTTTAATTGGCGAATGTTTTGCAAAATCAGGCCATGCCCAGCTTCTCCACTTCCCTACGGCTCTCCACCAGCTCCGACAGCAGCTGCTGTTCCCGCAGCCGAAACGCCGCGGCCTGCGCCTCGCTGGGCGCCGAGGTCTCCACCTCGCTGCTGCCAGCGCTGCCGGCGCTGGCCGTGGCGCCATCGTGGCCGTGTGGCAGGCGATCGGATCCTGGCGGCGCCATCGTGGTCGAACTTCCCAAAGGATTTGGGCAATGGATCCATGATGATCCATGGAATTCTTGGATTTTTTGGGAATTTCGCCATAGATTCGGGGTTCAAAGATCGATTTTTGGGGGTGTAGAACTGTAGAAACACAAAGATTTGGGACATTGAGCAAAATCAACGAAGACAATGTATGGGTATTTCTCTGAAGAACATATAAGCGGATTGGTTTTTCATTGAATTTCCGAACTGCCAGTCATGTCAGATCATGTCAGTAGCCATTCTCAAACACCCCCATCGTGGTGGGGTTGGGTGGCTTGAAGCACCTAAGCACCAACGAAAAATCGGAGCCAACTGGATTTTCAAATCTGCCAAGATCTTCCAAAAATAAGAAGCGGGAAACATATGGAAACATGCTAATAATTCCAGACCTTGAACGTTCAGTGAAAGCCAATCACAAACTGACTGGTGGAAATTGCCCAAAGAGATTTCTTTCCATAGGTGGTCCAAAGTGGTTGCGTGTTTGCCGCATCCTGGAGACTCCCCATCTTGCTCACTGCGATTGGAGATGGGGCTGGCCTCACCTTAGATGTGTTTTGTGCGACTTGTGCGGAAGGCGGGAAAACCCACAAAAGTTGTCAAAAGCTCCAAGCTGGACAACTTCCATGAACATCATGAACATCCTGAACATCCAGATTTCATTCTCTCCAACTCAGCCAAGTGGCCAAGCATTCTGGGTCTCAAAGGTGACATGACATCGTCCCAGCTCTGGCCGCTCTCCCCAGGTCGTGTCAGTGGCTTCCCGGCCCGGAACTTGGCAGGACGCCAATCACGGCTCTGCAGGCGCCGCAGCTGCTCGTCCATGCGAGCGATGCGCCTGGCTTGGGACATCTTGGAATCCAAGCCCAGGAATCCCCACATGCTCATGGGAAATCATGGGAAATATATACGGAAATCATAGGAATCATTCCATTTTGATGAGGGTCTAGACTAGCTGCGGAAGCCTAGCGCAGGAAAACTGATACTATGATGACACCGTAAAATGGTGGTATAAAGGGGGGTTCTACGGTCTCAGTCTCATACCAAAAATTGGAGACCTTGCCCAAAAATGTGAATGATCTACCAATCTACATCAAATCTATATATGATCATCCATGATCTACCGTAATTGCCCCTCTCCCGATCCCAGCCTGTTGAACACATCGGTTTCCTCTTGGGATCCTCCCACCATCCGGCCCTTCAGCAACGGCATGGCGCATGGCGGCCAACCGCTAGGGGCTTCAAGCGAACATTGATGGTTCTTTGATGGTTAAAACTATAGGAGTTGGCTGGCTATCACATTATGTGGGCACGGTTGGCTTTGGAGTGGGTTCGAGCCCAACATAATTCCGCGATATTACGCATGAATGGTTTGTGCATGAATTACGTCTTCATCTTTTCTCACTGCCTTCGGGTAGCTATGATCTGACGCAAATGTATGCCACATATTGCCACACATATACTTATCATAAGGTTCTCATTCTGCAGGCTGAGGCATTGGCCTTCAAATCACGCAGTAGCGTTGCATCACTTTCAACCATCTTTATGTCAACACATGGCGATCCAACCCCAACTTGAGCCAAAGGTTTCGGACACAGCCCCTTGTGGCTGCGCAGCTCTCATTGAGGCCAAACTTGTCAGAAAACGATTTATATGAATCCATCAGTCCTCCCAACACAAACACACCGGTCTCGTGATGTCTCATGTCAGAATCTGCCAGTCGAATTGTTGTTGTCAATGGTTCTGATTTTTTTGATGCCTAAGAGTCCAAACAAACTTTACCCTCTGGTAAACTAACATAGCTATTGAAAATGGCCATGAAAATAGTGGATTTTCCCATTAAAAATGGTGATGTTCCATAGTTATGTTAGTTTACCAGAGGGTATCTTCAAACAGATCATCCCCAATGCTGCCCAGTTTAAAGTGTCTGGCTATGTCTGGCTCCTCCATCCTGGTCCGCAATTGATGTGCTTCCAAGCGGAGCTTCTCGGCATCGCCTCATCCAAGGTTCAACTGGGCATAGCTATGGAAAATCACCATTTTTAATGGGAAAATCCACTATATATGGTCATGTTCAATAGCTATTTTGACATAACCAGAGGGTACATGATTCGGAAATGATTCTGAGAGTAATTATTGGTGGCTTTCTGATTAAAGCTCCCTATCTATAGGGATGCTCATCATCCTTGGCAGCTTAGCTCCTGCAAAACCAATGGCCAACGTCTCTGCGTATGGGCGTTTGGGTTTAAATCTCTTGTTTCCAGACTACCCCTTTCTCTGAATAGAACGCATCATCTCGAACAAAAGTAAAAGGACCTCCCAAAATGGATAGCTTCAACTGAGCAATCTTGGAAACTCAAGCTTCAAGAACAGGACATCAACAAATGTGGGAAGAACTAATATAATTGTTTACCACACGTTTGCACCGAATTCATATATTAATACTAAATTGTACTCTCCTGTGCTTGGGAAACTCTTAGCTCCAGTCTCCAGTTGGCTCCCCACAACGAGCCAGCTGCGATTTGGCGATCCCTGGGCTGCAGGACATCCCATCTCTTCCAGCTTTCGGCCACGCTCCTCCAGTTGCGCCTGCGGGCTATGGGGGTTTCTATAAATGGTGGGGTGCCCCAAATGGATGGTTTACTGAGAATCCTAAAATGGATGATTTGGGAGTACCCCCATGACTCGGGGAAACCTCCATCTCTAAGTATCTCTAGCATGGAAAAAACCGACAGTATATAAATATAAACTGTAGAAATCTGTAAGCCACTTTTTGCTGCACCAAATCTTGTTCTGTGAGTGGTTTATGTTTTAGCTGAGTTGCTGGTGAAAACGTGATCAACTGCCACACTTTTGAAATCTTTTGAATGCATACATCAATAGAAATCAGTTTTCACTTGGAACATCGCACATTGAGGATCATTGAAGCCTCAGTTTGTTCCACTTATTGCCACGTGATCCCCATGATCACCACCATATTATAGCGCTGCATAAACTCCACATCCTGGTCAGCTGTTGGTCACATCTCCAGCACCTTTGCTTTAGATCACCCTAGCAGCCCCCCACGGCAGGTGCGTCCCGGTTGCCATCTTTTTTCGCGCGGGTCACCGGTCATCCTGACTCACAGGGAGGTCCTCGACGTAGCGGGTGGCTTTTCTCACCTGGCGGGCTTTGGCCCTCGAGGAATCAACGGCAATAGCAAATCCCCTATAAGCTGTGTGTTCGGGTGTCGTAAGGTATATGCAGCTTCTAGCCGCAGGTTTTGTTCTGCTTGTCCCTGTTTGTGTTGGATTGCCTGCACATCAATGAAACTGTCACTCAAAGTATCGCGGCACAGTTGCCGATATCCACTTGCAATAACAATGAATGCTCAACACCGACAAGCGGTGCTTTCCACCGGAAGTATGATGAAACTGCAGCAGCTGATCCGGACAAAAGATCGCAAAAGTAGACAGAAAAGGGGAACATTTCATCCTCACCTTGGCAGTATCGCTGAGGAACATGGAGCCAACGTACCTTCGTTGTCGCTTCTCTGAGGTGTAGAACATGGGGCTACCCTCGGGTAATTTCTTAGAGTTTGCTATGGAAAAATCACCATGTTTCATGGGTAAATCATAGATTGGCAATGTTCACTAGCTATCTGTTAAACTACAAGAGGGTAACTCCTGCGAACTGTTATACTTCTGGCAATGTCTTGTTCACCAAATCCACAATCTCTTGTTGAGAAGAGTTCGCAGGGGAAATGTTCAATTTCCAGTGGTTCAACCCATAGGCAGTTCGATTCCCAATGGTTCGTGGCGAAATCCCAATTTCATGATTCTTTGTTGCGCTTAAATCGTGCGAAATCCAAATTCTAGCCAGTTTTCATGGAATTTCATGGATAGAACATGTCTGAATTTTGATGGGTTGAAATCCCAATTTCCATTCCTAGCCGAAAATCCTCCAGCGGACCCCGGGTCACGGCATGACCAATGGAGGGGTCAAAGCAAAGGGCCGAAGCAGCACCGGCACATGCGGTTTCCACTCCAGGACCTCAGAGCTGTCACTGTTGTTGTTTCGCTTAAGTGGGCCTTATTGATAGAACATTGATCAAAATTGTGATGTTCATATTCCAACTACAAATGAAAAATGTGGAAATTTCATGATATATCATTCATATCTGTTGGAATCAGCAACTACACCATTATTTAGTGGGGACACTTTGGCATGCAAGAACACATGACATACACAGCGTCCTTTATTGCCAATGTTAGTCCTTCGCTCTGGGGTGCTTCTTTCTGACTTGGCAATGCATGTTCACCTAACATACAACAATTGGCCATTAAGCCTCTCAGCCACAGAACTCAACATTGTTCACGTGCATGACGTGGAAATCCCAGTGGTTCAGATTCACTTTAGGTCTAAAATCATCTAAAGTCCGTTAAAATCATCTAAAATCAACTAAAGTCATCAAACAAATATCAAAAATCATCTCATACTTTAAGATCCCTTAAAATCCCTTAAAATCACCCAAAATCACCAATGCTTCTGACCTTTTTTTAACCCAAGCATCCCACGGCCTGGCCTTGTCATTGTAGAAGCCGTCCATCCCCCGCCCCGCGGCCACCGAAAAGAAGTCGTCCAAGGGAAGGAAGGCGCGCTGGCAGAATTTTGAGATGGGGAAACCCTGGGAAAACCATGAACAGACCCTGGGAAGTTGAGAATTCATTTTCGGAGAAACAAAAAAATGGGATGAATTGATGAAGTGGGAATTGCGGTAAAAAGGTGACAAGAAAATTAAAGGAAGACAGAACCTCATACACATAAGTGTACAATATTGAAACTGAAATTAAAGTAGGACAGGGTGCCATACAAAAAAGCGTGTGCCAAGGCAGCATGTTTGCGTTTGGAGTGCTCAATGGAAGATATAGTAGCTTCTGGCAATCAAAGACGGCAGTATATAATATACCGGGCGGGGGAAATCTTCTATAGATGAATGTAGGTGATTTCCCTCTTGAACATGTTGAATTCCCTAGGATTCCAGCCATCTTTGACTAACGGATTCTTTTGTAGTCTTTTCTCACCTCGACTTGCGCATCCAACAAGGCTTTGGCGCCCTCCAAGCGGAGAATGTAGCCCACCTTGGCTTGATTTCGTCGCGGCGGAACTGGATCTGGAGAACGGGGCCGGAAGATCCAAGAACCATTGATATTAAAAAATGTGTCCTACCTGGATAGATCAATTATTTTAATATGTGTGTATTGCTGTATGGCATATCAAGAGTTATCATGATAGATTGATTGGATCGAACCATGCCAAGCTGACCCAAACCCCTTATACCCCAAGGCAATTAGGCTCTAACGATAAACAGATTCAAGGTGAAGCCAGGGTTTGTGTTGGGTGCTTATTGTTAGGCGAAAGGAATTCTGTCCCGACTTCTGTGTGCGCTGAGTGGTGGCGGGCGGTGAACTCCAATCTACCACATGTAACGTAGAAGCTTGCAGGTTGCGTGGCTGGACATGGCAAATGAGAATCCCTCTTTGGGCTTTTTGGCATACCATCTATCATCATTTACCTGTTGTTAAAGGGGTAAAGAAACCCCTCTATTAATCAACCAGCCAATGGGAAAAGGACATCTATGAGTTGATTTCTCCATCACACATTAAGGAAGTTGCCATGTTTACTTCCTGGGTGGTATGACATTGCAACATATCGGCCCCTTGGGACTGAAATCAGCACAACCTTGGTGGGCGGAAGCCGCGGTCAAGCATTTTCTGACCGCGCTGGCGGCCGAAGTCATTGGACTGCACTGTCCAAGATTCCGCATGGCAAGGTTGTAGGTGTCCATCCCTGGCTTTACCCGAGATGCCCGCATCAATGCGAACACGCCAAATGCCACTTGCCATGCCTCTGCCATCTGGCAGACTTGCAGTAGCGAACTGAAGGTCAATAGATCAGGCTGCAATTGTTGTGTTGCCATCAGTTGCAGCAAACTTAGGGCCTGGAAGGTGCCCCCGACCGAAACCCAATGGTATTAAGAAGACTCTGATTGTGTGTATTTTGGTTTGTGGAAATGTTTCACCCCAAACAAAATACTATCAAAAACTTCCAAATGAAATGGCTCCTTGTGACGCTGGCAAATATGGCGGAGCTAAAGCTGGTACATATAGCAGGCTGGATTTAATAATCAACTGTTTGCAGGATCTCAAGTCAATCAGCTAACCTGTTCATTTCAAAGCCACCAGCCCCTAACATCCTAACCTAGCTTCTGACTCCTGGTGCCTCCCTGTCTGCTGCTCCAAAATCAACCGCCCCATCGACAAACCAACAAAACTACCTTTGAAACCATGTGATCTAATGTCCACCTTGGGCACATAAACCCATAGTTTATACTATTTGGATCTTCCTGAACTCAAAACCTCCCAAATTTGAGTGATCCAGATGATTTTTAGATATTTTTAGGCTCAAATGGCTGAACCCTCAGCCACTGGATGCCACTGGGGCCTCCTCCCACGTTGCGCAGCAGCCGATGGCCGCGTTGAACGTCACCACGTTGTGCTCCCAGCGCAGCCGCGGCAGGAGGTCCTGGAGCGCCTGGCGCCACTGGCGGCCGCTGGCGCAGGCGCTGAAGGCAGCAGGCAGCACTGAGGCAGGCCCCGAAGGCACCGAAGGCTCCGCCGTGGCCTGGGGGCTGGGATTTGTTGGCCAAAATGGCATGAAACATGAAAGTATTGTAAAACCATTGTATTGTAAACCTAGTGATTCAATGGATTTATTGCTAAAATCACTTCATTTATTTCTTTTGGTTTATGAGTTTATGATTGGCATTTATATTTATATAAACCCTACTCTACTAATTATAAATGCCTATTCAATTAGAATACTTTGAACAAACATAGCATATCTGCCATAAACCCTGCTTATGTTCTGGTGGATAGAGGTAGCAGGGTTATATCATGGGTGCACCATTTTTTGATTGGTTCGAGGATGTTAGATATCACATCATTTTTTCGGGCGATTTCCCCCTATTCTGATCCCTTGCTAGTTTATGTCATCCAACTTGTAGATTTCTAGTTAATAACTTCTATAATTCTATATTTCATGATATTTCCAGCTATAGATCCACCCTCAGTTTCTCTTCGGACCTCCCAATCTTGGAAGATCTTCAGTGCCCGATTCCACTGGCCGCTCTTCTCGCACCAGGCCATAGCGCTGCTACAGCCCACCTCGTCCCACACCACGGCGGTCCCCAGCTGCAGGGCGCGGTGCCACGGCCCATCTGAAGAGGAGATGAATGCCTTGGAGAGGCCATGTGCCATGAGAACAGGGAATATCTGCAGAAATATGGATAAAATGGATAAAATATGGGTAGAATGTGGGTAGAATGTGGATTACTGATGTTCAATTACCATGTTTGAATTTCAGTTTAATGATTTCACGGCGTTGGATGATGCGAAACCCGGAAACGTCCCTTCAACGAGGCCCTTCGGTTGAAAGTGACAGGACATCTGATCCTTGCACGCTTAGGCACGTTGAAGCACACGAGGTTTGGCTCCAGCTGCCGTGTCGGCATCTCAGACAGCAAGGCCAAAGGCCTTTGCCAGTCGCGACTGGAAAAGCCTTGACAGCTGATCGCGGTGCTGAAACTGAAGGCATTGGGCGGAACGAAGTGCCAGGGCATGGATTCCAAGATGCCGAAGGTGACTTCCTGGCTATGGGGAATTGAGTTGCAGAAAGCTGCAAGGGTCGGAAAAGAAACCAGAAGATCAGTGGGTTGAAAATGTTGGCCATTTGAGTTTCACGAGTCCAAATAGTAGCATGCGTCGCTGTTGGGAAATTAACATGTCATACAAACATGTCATACAAACATGTCATAAAAGATCTGAAACCACCATCCAGTTTCCCATGGCCAGCTTTCAGACCGAGACATCATGGCAGCACCAAAGCTCACGACACTCGCTTGAACTTTCAGGTAGACCATCCCTTCCAACAAACTCAAGGCATGCTGCCACTGACCCTCGCCATTGCAGCTGCTGATGCTGGTGTTATAGTTCACCACATTTGGCTGCACGGTGACTTCTGGTAGGGCACTGAAGAAGCTCAAGGCTTGCAACCAAAGGGATGCCTTCTCAGAGGAACTGATGGCCGAGTTGCAGCTGTAAACGTTGGGCTGCAGTTTGCTTTTGGATATGGAACGATGGACTGACACCTTGGTATCTGGAGTCATGTCAAAATATATGTCCCCCAAAAAAATGTCTGGTCCAGAGTTCCAACATGAAATCCAACGGCTTCAAGTTTGAATGGTGGATAACCTCCTCGTTTTCTCTTGGTGAAACTCGGATTGACCAGAACTTGCTCATGAAAAACCATGAAAAGCTGACCTCAGCAATCGCAAGTCACGGCCTGCTGCCAGCTGGTGCCTTCGCACGAACTCATGGCAGCACTGAAACTCACAATGTTGGCCAAGAGTTTGGCATTCAACATCCTCTGAAGCCTCGTGGGCCAGGAAGCCCCAGGAAGCCGGGTGCCCCAGGGTCCACCTGTTTCAAAAAATTCTCGAAACGGTGGGCATGTAGCCCAAGTCAGCTATAGGCTATAGATCTTAGATCTTTTGAATGAGAAATTAGTTTATATATTATTATATATCAGTATATATCCTGATCATAACATATCGATACATATCGCAACTAACTAGCGCGACACTTATCGTCATAGTCATATTGCTACATATATGACCTGACGCGAGCATCAAAGATCATCAAAGTGTAGCATGCACCCTCGGAACATTGTTGTTCTATATTGTCCTATTGGTTTTGGATGGCTTTGGAATGTCCACCTTACTTGCTTGTGTTTCAGGTAGATACAGCGGCCCATCCTGACCGCAGCCATGAGCATGATCAATCTTACTAGTATCACTTATCACTCATCAACTTGTTTGCATCCCGCATCAACTGCAGAACTGGCTTTGGATGATCTTAGATCCCAACCTCAAAACTCAAGGAAAATGGAGAAGTTCAACAAAGGCACAATCCAAAAGCTTGCCGCCATCGTCCAGCTTTTTCGCATGAGCTAATGGCTGCGTTGAAGCTCGGTACATCTGCCTGGACCTTCGCTGCCAGCATCGACTCAAAAAGCTCATAGCCTCGGTGGGCCATGGTGGATCTGCCACAGGCAGAAATTCCCATCGTGTAGCTGACCACGTCCAGGTTGACCGTGGGATCCTTCCCCAAGGCCTCCAAGGCGTCAACCACGGCCTCCGCATCGGCCTGCGCCAAGATCTTCCGGAACTGCCAGGTGTTGGATCGCTCATGGTACAGCTGTGGCAGCAACGAGGGCATCAATGGTGATTCTGGGAGCGTAGGGTCAAAAGCCCAAGGCTGGAGCCAAGATACACCAATTCGATCCAATCCGTTGCCTGCTGAAAGATCCTTTAGCACACCAGTAGCGCTAGCTGACATTGTCACCAACTTTGGCAAAGAGGACCAACACCATGGACCCAACCATGGACCCAGGTCTGCATTTTTTTTCTAGTCGTGCTTCATCAAGGTCCATCCTGACAGTCCTCACGTGTAATCATCCAACTTAGCTGCTGCTTGCTTTCACAACACCAACCCGCAAATGGAAGGGACAACAAGATTAATTGGTCAGGAAATAGGACATCGTTACACAGTCTAAAATCTAAAATATGTTCCTCCTAAACACGTCAAAAAAAAACATGTTTCCAACATGACAAGTTGTTAAAATCAATTCATATGATGAAATCACCCGAAGCCCAAACAACACCAGCCAAGTCGACTTCAAAGGTCCCCTCGGCCTCCCCACTGTCCACAGGGTGTAGCCTGGTTCCACCACGTGATCGCTCAGCCTAGACCAATCCGCCTCCGTAGGGCTGCGCCTTGGAGCTGATTTCCATGGGGATTTCCATGGGGATTTCACCTCAAATTTTGATCATCAACTCCTAGCGGTCCTAGCACAATGCATATCTATGCATATCTATGCATATCTATTCTATTTTCATGATTCTCATATGGTGGCTTGGATATTCTCAGTGAACATCCCGCTTTTGGGGCTGTTGGAGTTTGCGTTGAAGTTTGCGCAATCCCGCTTTACGTCCTTTTTTCATCTTTTTTCATGGCTCTGATAGCAGTTGACGGATCAAAATCGAAGGCCGCCAAGCAGCGAACTCAACCCCCATGGCCCCGATCCAGTTTGATCCACGTCTCTTGGCTCCCCAACCCAACGTACATCAGATTCCAGTCGTAGCCACGTGCCTAGATAACACTCGGCTCAAAGACCCGTCAGCCGTAATAAGGCAGTTGCAGTTGGGATACTCACCCCAAATGGGGGTTTAACGTGAAAATGTGTCAAAACGCCGAGCAAGAATTGCAAAACAAATTCAGCATATTTTCCCAGAAACGGTTGATGCCAAACCCAACTTGTAAGTCAAGATGTAAAAACAATCTCGACGAACCAACAAGCCAACCATCCGAAAGAACAACAACGACGCAACGGGTTGCCATCCTAGCCTCCTCCAGGTAAGCACCTAACCTTGACCTTGGGCGCAGGCTCTCGATTTCACAAGCTTGCCAGGTTTCACAAACAATTAGTGACCATAGAGTTTCAAGAGCCAGCCAAGGTTCTGGCACCTAAGCTGGACATATCTTTACTTACTGTACATGTATCTATAGCCAAACTCCAACCTTCCAGGGTGCCATGGGAAGAAATGCTCCACCCAGGGGCCTTGAACCATTTTGGTGAGGTGTGGGTTTCAAGTTGTGATTCGATGTTTGTTTTTCCAGGGATCGTCTGCACCCAACCAGTTTTTTTACCTAAGATTTTCAATGTTGAATCTCCGTTGATCGTTGTTTCAATCTCAATTTGTTTCTTCATGTCTTCCATCCCCATCATTTTCATTCATTTTCCAACTATCAGTAATTCTCTGGAGATGTCCAAGTAATTATCCGGATATTTCCAAGTATCCCCAACGATCATTTTCCAATTCTCTGGATAGTTCATGATATTTCCAAGTCTCTGGATAAATCATATGTATATATATGTATATGTATATCATATCAAAACTCCACATGATCATCCTCAGCTTCCAGACGCGAAGTCGGGCTGCAGGTCAAAGTCGTCTTCCAGGATTAAGGCCGCTGGAAGCTGGTGCCTCGGGCAACTAACAATGAAACTTGGGGATCTCAAACAGACACGCTTGCATTTCTCTATGATGTGTGCGTTATTTGGATTTATCGGATATACATATGCATATACATATATATATAGTATATCACACATATATATATATATATATGTATACATATACATATATCTGTGCGTGTATGTGTGTGTGTGTGCTTGTTCAGTTATATATGTGTGCGTACGTGCGCATGTTGAAGATATTGAAACCGTCAATGTACTGAAAATACATTGCCAATGAATTATATTGAATTTGCATTGTATCTGGATTGGGGGTTATCAAAGAAAAACAAATATATATATATATATAGGTTTGCCTCTTGTAATCTACACGCAGCAACTGAAAACCAGAATTTGGAATTTGTAGAAAAAGCTTGGAGCCAAATTCGAGGGGTCCGTAAGGATAAGTTGTTGGAAACATGAGTCATTACCCAATTCTAGATAATTCTAGCGGACGGGTTGCTCTCAGGAATCAATGGCTGAAATACCAAGCCTAGCATCTGAGGAACCCAACTGGACCATGTGATGCCAAATGGTGAAGTGGCTCATGAAGCATCCTACCTGGCATTTTTGCTCCGAGAAACATTCTGAAACCAAGCATGATGCTGCGCAAAAGAATGCAAAAATGACCCCTTCTCTGGACTGCCGGATTTCCCTGCATGGGGAAAAATGAAGAAAAGGGCAGGTGATTAAGCACGAATCAATGATTTGAACTGCGATGGCTGCCCTGGGACCCTGGTGGAAAGATTAATCTGAGGACCAGTACTGGGGAGAACCTGATTAGCTCGCGGCAAAACTTCTACAATTAAGACTCAAAAGACTGCCATCTGCCAGGGCTGGAAAGCCTTCGAAAGTTGCCAGGGCAGTCTGAATATGTCTGCATCATTCCAAGGCCCCAAGGCCCCAAGGCCCCAAGGCCCCAAGCCTCGCCGGTGGTCAAATGGATGCCATGGTTCTTGTGACCAACATAGCCAGGGACTGGCAGAATTCCAAGCCTCGGCAGTTGGATCCGCTTGAATTTTTGCCGTGGCTTTCCCAGGTCATGCAGAATGGCTGCTGATCCAATCATCATTCCCCACATTCAAATTGCATCAAAAATGCCATATCGGAGGTGCCCCCCATTGAGACAAACCCTGACAAACCCACATTAGCATCATTTCCCTCAATACATCATGCCCCCTGCAGACACGGACAGAGTTCCAGCCTTTTGTCCATGTCAGTCCCGCTTTCTTTGAAGCACCCGACGTTAAACTGCTCCCAGCTCTTGGGCGCGAAACGAACGTGTCAAGCAGCACCTCTCTGTCCCGAAGAAATCAGCTGGCAAATGCCAGAACCTTCCGAAATCACTGAAAGAGATGGGCATATGGGATACCTCCTCAGACTTTGATGATTTTGAATTGGTATATAAATATAAAAAAGCATCCCATTTTGCCGTACCAATTTACACCAGAATGTGCCACCTGCTGACATGAAACATGGGCATCTGCCACATCCAGAATTCATGGAACTCTGGAGCTGTTCTCTGAAGACCATTGGCACAGTTTCAAATCGAGGATGGTACTTTCGACCAGCCTGTGTGCCATGAAGAAATGCTACCCGGGGTATTCCCTGGAATTCTGCAGCGGTTTGGGAGCTCTCTTGTTCGGTTAGGATTTTTGATGCAGGTTTGGCAATGAGTCAACTCGGTTTCGTTGAGGTGAATGATTGTGGGTCAAGGCTCTACGTGCCATAATAACTTGTCAAAAATGACTTAGAATTAGAATGTAAGAGGTTGCATTCTCTTAGACCATGCACTGCCATTTCATGGTCAATTCACTCCCAGATCTTTGGTTCATCTGCGGCACCAACGATGGCAGCGTAGCTGGGTTAAACCTGTGATCTGAAGCCTCAGATTGGGCCAGGATGAGCCCCAAGGATCCCATCCCAGCTGTGCAACTACCAGCTGCTACCAGAATCAGCCGTCAATTTCAACGAGAAGCTGCAGATAGCTGCAGTATGGGGCTATGATAATTTCTGAATCATTCTGATATGGTCAATGATCAATTGGATTCAATTGGATCATCTGGAGGATGTTTTTTTAGTGAGGATGAACTACATGAGACATGGCACATTGATCTACAAGCGCTGGAAATTGCAGGACCTTCAAGGTAACTGTTTCACCTGTTCACATTGTCTCAGGCGTCTTTATTTTCCATCATTTCATGTTTGTAGCAAATTGTAGCAATACAGTTTTACCACCATTTTGAATCACTTCAGGTTCCTGAAACTCACTGAACTCAATGAACCTTGAACCAAGATAAACCACAATAAACCACAAGAAACCACCGATCTTCGCTGATCTTTGAAGCCTTTGGCCATGGCAGCCAGGGCACTGGGTACCAGGCTCCCATCTCCAGGTCCACCGCCCGGGGAGGCGACTCGCGCCATGGGCTCCGGTGCCGGCTCCGGCGCAACGGGCGCGAGACCTGCTGGAGGTGCCACACGGAGCTGGGGGCTACCCAGAAATGTGGGTAGTTGTAGCAACCCCCAAAAAATGAGGAAAGTCTCAAGAAATATCTCTGGAACCTATAAATGTCAATGTTTGATAATATATATATATATATAATGTGTGTGCGTGTGTGTGTTTATATCATGCTTTAAAATATAAATATAATTCATAGTGCTATTGTACGTTGATATACCTAGAAATGTTGTTTTTCTCCGGGAAGTCGAACATGGCCTGACGGGAAATCACCTAAAAACAGAGAATTTCTGGTGATTTGCAGCGGCCAGATTTGATGACTGGAAATGATGCTGGTTTCTTTTAGGTTTTTATGGCGACCCATGGGGCGTTGAGTCTTCATGGGCCAATCATTGGCTCAATCACCTTGAGCATCTGCCAATCTGAAGTTCTTTCTGAACGGGGGCTCCGCGGCTAGTGACAGCCAATCCTTTTTGCTTTTTATGCTTCTTAATTCATCTATCACGAGATTGATTGCGTCTAAACGCGGGGGGGTCAAAATCAAGGTCTCAAACGGGCAGCCCCATTATAATGCCAAAAACCGGTCAACATGGTGGCGGAAGGGACCAAACATTGTATTTGGATATAATTATTTGGATATGGTTGGAAAATTGGTGGTCCTGATTTCATCACTTGGAAACCCTTCATTATCTTCATTGATCTTCATTGCAACTGTTAAAAAAGGATAAAAAAGGCATGGTAGGGAAGGATAGGAAGGAGCCTGGAGCCTGAGTCCCTGCAGAAGTTGGCCGTGCCTGCTGCCAGTGACTCAACTGGTCCAAGCGTTTCAGGCATTCCACTTTCTTCGCCGCCTCCTCTGCAGCGTTCCGCGAAGGCAGGAAGTACTGAGTATGGACGCAAAGGATCCCTAATTACGCTAAGGCCAGGTTGAAGAGTTGGAGTATGATTAATGGTTGGTATGTTGTAGAAATCAACCAGCATCTTGACCACCTGCTTACAGCGATGTGTCTTGCCTGTTGCGGCATGTATCGCCACTTTGCCCTGACTGTGCTCCACCGGTGGAGCCACGAACTGCTGCGGCTTCATCGGGGCTGGTGCTGGCACTGCTGCCCTGGGGGGTGCCAAGGGGTCCACGTACAGCGAAGCAGGTCCCTGGCGGCTGCAACCTGCAGCTCCGATGGGTGGTGGGCCCACTGGTGGGCCCATGGGTGGCGGTTCCATGGCCGAGAGGTCCAGTTGTTTCTGTCGCCCTGTGGCAGGGTCGATGTTGGAGGTGTCTACATCCTCCATGCCCTGCTGACGCCAGCGCTTGGCCTCAGGGGTGTTGAGGCAGGACCCCAAAATCAGCTCTGTCAGATCCGGGAATATGACGGAATTAAGAAAAGATCCTTACCCAAGTGACCTCTTCCATCAACAAAAACATTGACTGAAATGGGCATCAGTTCGCCACTGGATCGAAGTAGAAAGTGTTCTCTGGTACCTGGAGCACTGCTGCCGGAGCTTTTCGGCTCAGGGGTCGAAACACCACGCCCAGTAGCCCGGCACCTGATGGGTTGGATGGCATCTGTCAGCAAACATGGACATCAAATAAGATCATGACCTCGTTGGTGGCTTCAAGCTACACTGACCTGAAACTACCAAATCAATCAACTTGACTAAAGACGAACTGATAGAACTGCCGGAAACTCCATCCTTTCCACTGGCACAACACCCGTGGCCTGGGCTCGAAATGATTGACTGAACAGGACAGGCTAAGTGCTACAGCGCAAAGAACAAAGGAGCCACCTCTCCCACCACCATTCCCCTACAAATGCATGGTGTGTCCATAGACCATATCGAAATCGTATAGATATTGCTTGCCTGATATTACACAAAGGGTCCTTGTAGCCATGGTTGTCCCCAGTTGTAAGGGGGTTTACCCAGGTAGTGTGGGACTTACTAACCAACCAACCTTCGCTTTGAGCAAGCTGCTGAAAGATTTCACTCCTGCAACCAATGATCTCACCACCGAAGGTCGCGCAAGCGTGGCATTCTTGTCCTTGGAACTTCAAGGACATGAAGTTCAAACCCCCAAATGACTGCTGGGAGATGGCTCGAACCCATCCCAAGAACTCGACTCAACTGGGACCATATATATATATTTATTTATTTATCTATTTATATTTATATTTATATTTATATTTATTTATTTATTATTTATATTTATATTTATATTTATTTATCTATTTATATTTATATTTATATTTATATTTATTTATTCATTTATTTATATTTATATTTATTTATCTATTTATATTTATATTTATATTTATTTATTCATCTATTTATATTTATATTTATTTATCTATTTATATTTATATTTATATTTATTTATCTATTTATCTATTTATATTGATATTTATATTTATCTTTATATTTATTTATTTATCTATTTATATTGATATTTATATTTATATTTATGTTACATTATATTTCTATTTATATTTATATTTATATTTATATCTGTGTGTGTGTTTGGGATGGAAGATTAGTTTCCGCATGTTTCGGCAAAAACCTCCCAGGCTGGCAGGTCCAAGGCTCAATATTGGGCAACGTCTCCAGCCCTGCTTCGGCTCGCGCCAGGCCCGCGCCAGGGCTGCTGCTTTGCCCAGCTATGGTGCTCTTGAGCTGTCCATGCGCGGAGATGAAAATGAATCCGGAGCGGTTGACCTGAGATCATGGGGATTCAACATGGGTTAATGAAACAATTAACCATTAATATGACTTAATATTACCCAGGAGTAAATATAGGGAATTTAAGCCACAAATGGTGATATAAAAATTATAAAACCAATAATCATGGGGATACAATTGGATATATATATATAATGGGATAATCCCTTCCGAGATTAAATGCCTCCAACAATGTTAAGATTTATTAGCTACGAATACCAACAACCACTAACAACCTTATGAACCATCTATCATTATATGTCATTGGGGGGTCACCCTTTGGGAGGTTGTTCAATACCGACATTGCTCCGATGACACCAGATCCAGCGTCCAGGCTTGGTATCCCAGCCTCTGGCACCAGATGGGCGGGGACCCGCCGCTCTGCCCAATCCTAAAAGGCGCACCAATCGATTCCTCTCTGTCTAAATTGAAACTTAGAAATATAGCCATGGTATGTTATATATAATTACTGTATATATATATATATACAGTATATTATTGATCATACTCAATATCCTCATAAACTATGATGATTATATATTATTCTTATCTCTCTGTCTCCCTGTCCATCACTATCTCAGGTAGATCAGCAGTCAAGCGAAAAAAGGAGCTTCACTTCAGCCGGCCTGGAGACTTACACCTTGCGGTAGCAGTTGTCTGGCCTGGCCAACGGGCTTGGCATATCTTTTTCCACAGCAATTTCTGCCAAAGGGTCTCCAAATCATTGCGGGTATGGATCACAACATCCGTGTTCCTTAAGAATGCCCAGAATCTAAGACTAGACCTGAAAAATATCCGCATGTTTTTCTATATACAGTATGTTCAACATGTTCCTATGAATTTTCCCATGATGATGATAACATCACCAAGTTTTCCACCCATGTTTCCACCATGTCCCAGCCATCCATCCCACCTTCTCGGCCACTCCCAGGATGGCTTCCAACAGCTCAGACTCTGCAGGGCTCAGCCCGGGGAGCCCTGGAAAATCGGGCGAAAATTTGGATGGAAAACATGGGAAAACACAACTAAAAACCACGGGGCAATCGGAAAAAATGATTGAATTTCATATGAAAATATATTAAACACTTCTTGGTGGGTTGGCAATCTGACCATCTGACCATTAACTTCTCGTAAGCAAAAAAGACATCCCCAGAGTTCAATCAAAGCCTGGGAGGTGGCACTCTGATTCACTTTCTAAGATTATCCGGCAGCAGGCATTGCGCAAAATTGCACCGAGACACCATTCAGTGATGCCCAAAAGGCATCCAGGGCAGTAGCTTGCAGGTGACTCATACCGTCCGAGGCAACATCAGGAATGGGTTTCAATGCTCTCTATAGTCTTGTTGATGTTGCTGCACTGATGAAGTCAGGTGATTACAACCATGTAAGCACCAGCGTTTCAAAAGTGCGTTTTGCGAGATCAAGCTGACAAAATGCATGCAAGAAGGGAAATTAAGACGAAAAAAAACAACTTGCTATACTTGAAAGCTCGGTCCAAATCAATCAATACACAATGTGCGCTGTTTCTTCTCCGTCATCAGTGTAAAACATTCTGATTCTGAGCTTCAACAGGCCATGCTTTGGGCAAAGTTCCTTAAGTTGATCGAGCCAGCAGCTGAGCTTCGAGCAGTGGTCAGTGCCAAGGAATCTGGGAAGGGGTTGGTTTGGTGGTGTCAACCCCCTTCGAAAAGTAAAACATGGATGATCAAAATGTCCAAATGGTTGGAAATCAACATCATATTTGCAACCGCCAATTCGATCCCATTATCCATTATATAATTAGTACTATTCCCATGAGTCCAAGATAGTCCAAACCATGAGAAGCCACAAGCTGAAAAAAAACAGGGAGAGAACATTATATTGATGAGATTGGGTCCTGAAACCATTCAGTTGTGCCGTTGTGCCTCAAAATTGATTGGACCCTTCCAGCATGTGGTCAAATCATGTCAAATCATTGGAACACCACTGGTCAACGAAAATTTGGGTACCTAACTGGTACGTACCCATCAGAAGGTCTGATCAAACCAAGCCCAAATATTGCCTTCTAGGGTGGATTAAGTACCTCCGACAATCAAACACGGCTTGATGAAAAATCCCCCATGTATGTCATGTTTGATTACCAAAGGGTAACTGGATTTGTTGGATGGATTGGTGGACCCCTTGACGACCTGGGGCTTCTCTAAGCACTTGGCGTTTCCATCTCATCCTGGCTGCGAAAACCGTCGCCATCCACTGCATCAACCTGATGGCTGAGGGACAGATCTACGTCCATGTCACCAAAACAACAGTACATTCCGCTCAATATGGGTTTGTCTGAAATAGGGTTTCCCATGATATCCCAAAATTTGATGGTTGACTACCATGTTCAAACAAGCCCGTATTTTGGTCCTCCCTAAACCCGGCCAAAAAAACAATCCAGAATTTGAAGCCCGTTGCTGAACCTTTTTCCCCCCTTTCCCGGCTTACCAATGGTCTGAGGCACCCTGCGATCTTTGCGCTGATGCCTTCGCGGTACAACTCCTCGGCAGAAGTGCAGCAAAATGATTGGATAAACTGCTCTTTGAACCTGGGCCTGTCATGGCCTGTCTGCATGATAAAATTGATTGTTTCTCATCACTTGGGTCAATGTAATAGATTGCTATGTTTTCTTTGTTGTTTTGTTCAAAAGTGTCTTTTGACATAAGCAACTCTACATCACTTCGCTTCGGTTCATCTTTGAAATTTACGCACGGAGTGAGTCTTAGTCTGTTTGGATGGCCTTTCTCAAAGCTTTACCGCACTAGACATGTATCTTTATTGTAGATTGCTTGAAAGACGGCGTTATTGTCTGAATTTGGGGACTGGAATGAAATGTTCAACCATAAGTAGAATTAAAGTTGTCATAGCTGAATTTTGTGTGATGACTAGTCACTAGTCTAGTCCGCTTGCTTTCGCTTCCAACACTTCCACTTGATTGTCTGCAAGCATACGACTGGTTAACCACTTTCATTGCATGTTCTACTCCTCAATTGTCCTTTTTATATCTTGTTGGCCTTCTTCCTCTGATAGGAGTGAAGACTTCTGGTATAATCTTCATTCCATCAATTATTCCCTCTCCGCTAATAATGCTAATATCGAAAAAAAAACAAACGAAACCTTGAACTCCACTGCTGCTGGTAAAAATCAATGATAGAGTCGTGAAGTGAATATATTGTTACAATTATATAGCTTGACATGTTGGCACTAAAAATCCTGTCATAGTGCCTTGGTTCCACCTTGTTGCGGATGACATAGCTGCCAAAAGCTATGCATGTTGTTGAGGATTGCCGTTGGTTGCTGTGTTCCTGTGGGCGCTTTGTTCCCAGTACCTCTTTTTTCGTGCAGTTATATCTTTTGTAGTCGAAAGCTTGTTTAATTTCTCCGAATTTCAGTTTATTGACTTGTTGTTGATTTACTTTTAGTATTTCAACCTTTTCAGATTCAGTATATAATCTAAAACCATCTGCTCCATTGTGCTACAATCGATATCCTTATAGTCTTGGATGTTTGAAATAGCTTTTGGGATAAAATTGAGGCTTCAGGATGTTGAATCGAGCGAGAGTGGGCTTGAGTTTCGCTGTCGTAAGTTCCGTCGAGTTTCCATCTTGTAGATGTTGGGAATGGATGCTGTGCTTCAATCATTTGCTCGAAGATGTTCTCGTTCATGTTGTTTCTTTCCATCAACTACCTTTAATTGCATAAACATACATTTCTTGAATTGTGTTCGGGTCTGCCGCTCACAGTTGTGATTTTTTTCCCCTGAAACCTCAGTAAAATACTGCTCCTGTGACTGAAATGTATGTACATATGACGATCCGTAGGTATAATATGCAGATAGAGATACAATAGAGTAAATAGGTGTATACTGTATACATATAATATATATGCACAATGTATAATATGTATAATATATATATATATATATGTGTGTGTGTGTGTGTAGCTCCATCATGTGTCTTGAAGGCTCCTGGAGCTTGTTCCACATAATATAGAGCTTATATTAGAAACGACCCTAAAATTCTTGAAGGCTAACGTCCAATGTAGGCAAAACTTAATCAGTTCATCTAGCAAAAACAATTTTATTGAGGAACAACCCTATTGAACTCATTCATAAGTTCAATTACTGCAGATTCCTTGGCCAATGTCATAAAATGTCGTAAAATCGATGCTTAAGTTGATCCTCCAAAAAAATATGCATGCTGCATGAGACTAAAACGGTTAAAAAAAAAGATACTTGAAAGAATGTGGGAAAGATCATGTGTTCAAAACATTTCACAACCTTGGTTGAAGTGATTCCTTGAATGTCAAGCTCACAGGTTGATGGGCAGAATCGACGGCTCCAATGGGCAGGTTGAACTCGCTGTCAAAGACTGACAAGTTGCTCTTGACGATTCGCCGCATAGACAATGAAGATCATATAGACAGGCCCAACCACACAACCAAAACGTTTGCCCATGCCTTGAGGCCCTGAGGGAAGCTATGTCAGTTTTTTTTTGGATATGGGTTTCTTCACAAATGGGGAAATGGGGCATACCAATGCCCTACCCTAAAATGACAACTACATGACAACTACAGTATGTGAAACATGGGAAAGCGCGGGTTTGAATCGCTGGATATGGGGATTCCCTGTTTTTGGCATGGACAAATCCATACCTTGAGCCGTCTTGAGTATGCAACCTTTGAATTTCCTCCATTTTGGGGAAGTCCCTGAGTTAATTGGCACTCACAGGGACATGGTCGATCTGTTTTATTAGGCTGGAACAGCAGCCTGGGCCTGGAACCACTTGGGGCCCCACATGCAACGCATGCCGCAAGCGGCTGGGGCGCCGCATCTGGCTGATGACAAAGACCTGAAGAGCGTCTTTTGCTAAACCCACCTGGAAATGGTTGAGATGACTGGGTTCCAGTCAACCAAATGCACCGTGTTGCAACCCAAAGTCTTATTCCGCAATCTCGGGATCACTGATTTGGTAGGCAGCCTCTGGCACAGGTTTTAAGCTTGCGCGAGAATCTCGAAATCATTTCCATTGATTGGCTGTTGACAAAGAATGTCACTGCTGTCTGCACCAATCCCAGTAGAAACCTGCAGTTTTTTTTGATGTGTTTCTACCTCTTAGATCCTCTTAGCGGGTGAACATTCCACTCTTGGTGGAATCTCCTGCCACTAGCCCCCATTTCTGTTGGTGGTTTCTTGCCGACTCCTTCCTTGGTTCCCAGGCGTTTTCACCAGGATCTCCCAGGGCTTCAGGGGAATCAGCTGAGGGACCTGAGATGATTTCTGCGAAGGTACTTGAGGGAATATGTGCTATCTATATGTATATTTAAAGATTAGATTGGATAAAGAACAAGACAAAGAGATAGAGTTAAAGATAAAGATAAAGATAAGATAGATTTAGATAAATTTAGATAGATGTAGAAAGACTGAGATAGATTTATATAGATAAATACGGATTTAGACAGATTCAGATAGATTTAGATAGATATACACCCGCCTCTTGATGGCATGCATGGAGGACATGACCTGATATTCTACAAACAAATCCCATACCCACCTCTCAGTGCACAAATCAAAAGCTCGCTTTTCACTTTACACAGGATCCGATATTTGACATCGATTTTCAGTATATGGATGAAGTGGTTTGCAAGCCTGCATCACTGTGATTTGTGGCAAATCACAGCCCCCACCCAGCATACACTGTACTCACTTCAAAACCATCTCTTGATAGCCAGGAGAAAAAAGAAACAACTCGTTCTGTCCAACGACACGGCTGAGCTTGTCACAAAAGCGATGACGATCAGGACCAAATCGGACCTCCTCAGCCATTTGTGGACTTGTATCATTTCAATCAGAAAAAGAACAGGAAAAACCTGGCATGACCTGGAAGATCCTGGAAGTAAAGGCCCACCAATTCCCCAGTTTACGATAATTTGGGATCTATCTATCTATCTAATCTAATCTAATCTAAATCTAATCTAATCTATCTATCTATCTATCTACCTTACCTACCCTACCCTACCTATCTATGTGTTTGTACACTAATACATTCTTGTATTGCGTGGTGTCTGTGGTGCATCCCCCAAATCTCCTCGCAACCGGTCGCCCAGGTGACCCGACATGTAGATCTTCTGGGTCCAGTGCAGGCCACCGAAAGAGCCGCGAGCGAGCAGCTGCTGCCTGTGATCCCCAGGGGATCTTCGGTTCCATGTCTTCAACCCTAAAAATACGGATTGCCAACAAACATATATAGACTTACCTGGCAACTGCGATTTAGACAGAAAATGTCATATTCACGTGTCATTTTTTAAACACGAATGGGAGATACATGCATATATACCTACATATATATATATATATATATTATATGCGCTGAAAGGGGGACTTGCAGGACAAAAGTACAAAAGTGAGATTTTCCTGAGAACGAGGGGGCCTATCAGAAAAAAACCTATCGATCCACCTATCACCCAGCTGACAACCACAGGGGCTAAGGGCGGCATACCGAGTCCAGCCTGGATTTGTTTGGTGAACAAACCCATGAAGACTGGGCATCTCCGAAACCACCCAAGATTGACCAGTCATCCTCATCCATGTTCGAATAAATATATATTAATTGATTCTCTCGTATCTTCGTCTATGGTATATATTCATTATCACTCAGTAAATTCACTGCCTATTTTCGGTACCAGAAACCACTTTGATTTAGCGCAGTCTTATTCAAAATTTGGGCCATCATCCAGCATCCATCATTATAATTGTGTTTTTCATTCATTGGATTTGTGGAAACCCAATCTTTTTGGTCCCTGCCATGTCCGCCCATTGGGCCCACACCACTGCCAGCTGCTCTTCGGGATTGAGGCCACCATCGTTCTCATACCCCTGGTGGCACATCAGGTCTGTTGCATAGCTATGGAAAATCACCATAAATCACCAATAATGGGTACCCTGGGGTAACCTGGCAATCGGAAATCCTCTATGCATGGATGCCTTTAATGGGAAATTCATGGTGGATTTTCCAATGCCTCATTTGATTTCTGGAGGGTAAATGGTCTATAAATGGGCGACGTCATAGCTACACTAAAATCCTAGAGTGTACCATGTTTTGCACATAAAGTCTCCATATGCCTCCATCATATCTGAATGTGTCTTTGGACAAGATGTTCCAAGACGCCCCCAAGATAACAAACGTGATGATCTATGATTATCGCCTGCATCACCTGTCATCGCCTACGTTAGCTCCCAGGCAGGACGGACGGTGGAACCTTGTGCTGAGCCCAGTCGATATTCATGGCCTCAAAGCAGCATGTCCAAAATCTTTCATGCATAAATTGACTACTTGGTGGCCTGTTGATCCCCAGCTCAAGGCTTTTAACATCACAATCTGGGACAGAAGTGCGTGTACTACTACAATATATTCAGAATACCAAATAGAACTGGACAACACAGAAACAGTGCATGGGAACATTGCATGATTGTCATCTATGAGATGTTGATTGATTTGCAATCGTCATTGAATGTCATTGCAGCAAAGCTGCCTAGGTCCTTTCTATGGCAAGGGCACACGAAGCTTAAATCCACCACTAGAAAGATCTGAGAAGTAACTTTGACACAAGGTCGGAAACCGGAGAGAACTGTTGTTAATGATTGTGTTCTGGACTAGAAGCAACCCTGTTTTTCAGCTGGGATATCCTCCAAAATAGTGGCTTAAATAGCGACTGGAGATTCAAAGGGCACGACCCGCCACTTCATTAGTGAGACTGCATATATCCCCGTCAAACCCTGTGATCTGAAGAAATCTCGATCTTGTCGGCCGCATCCCCGTCATATCACCGGTGGATTTATACTAACAGCCATCAGTTCACAACTCATCTTGAAAGCTAAATATAGCCAGATTTTTTCCAGTTGATACTATTCAGAATAGTAACATGACAATTCCCGGAAATCTGAAGCATTCTTTCTGATCCAAAATGTTGATTTGGGGGGTTCCATAATAATTGGATGCACCACTAAATCATCCATATTTTAATAGGATTTTCCCTGATTTTCCCTTATAAAACATCCATTTTGGGGCCCCATTTATGGAAACCCCCCTTGAGGGCCTGGCTGTGTATGTAATCGTGGCTTCATGGTACTTCCTCAAAACCGAGCCCAGGCCGGGCCCCGGGTAACCACCGGGTTTAAGAAAGACATCTGCCAGTCCAACACCTGGACTACCCTCTGGTAAACTAACATAACTATGGAAAATCACCATTTTCATTGGGTAAATCCACTATAAATGGCAATTTTCAATAGCTATGTTAAATTACCAGAGGGTAGTGTACTTACTACAGTTAATGATAGATCATATTCTGGTTGGTGGTTTCAATGGTTTCAACCATCTTGAAAAAGTTGTCATTCAGTTGGGATGATGATTCCCAATATATGGGAAAATAATCATGTTCCAAACTACCAACCAGATATAGCTGTGGGAAAGCCAATAATAGACAACTATATACCACTTGGGGATAGTTTCAACCGTGTCAACCCCATTTAAGTGGTGATTTTGTGGATGGTTAAGATCTTGGGTTTACCACATTTTCTCAAAAATTGCAATGTACTGGAAGCATAAGATGGCACAACACACAATAGATACCCTCTGGTAAACTAATATAACTATGGAAAATCACCACTTTTGATAGGTAAATCAACTATTTCTATGGGCCATGGCTTCTATATCTATGTTAGTTTACCAGGAAAATCACCACTTTTCATGGGTAAATCCACTATTTCTATGGCCATATTCCTAGCCAGGTCCCGGTAAGGTCCCGATGCCAAGGCACTTGTGCAAGGACACGGTGGCCTCATCGAGTCCCAGGAGATTGTCCTCCCCAGGCTGGGATGTACCGTCATGGTCATGGTGGTTAATGGTGGTTAATGGTGGTTAATAATAGTGAATCATAGTGGCCTTCTAGTCATCACACATGGCAAGCTGGAAAATGTCCACACATTTTATGGAGGTCTTTATAAAAACAATCATCCAAAAAAAATGGGTGATGTTCTATTTTTAGGTATCTAATTACTGTATTTACACAAGATAAAACATCCTCAAGTAACCAAACATGGCTGGGGAGTCCCCAAACTGAATTTGGGCAATTCTCGCGTGCCAGGTAAGATGATTGGGGCGCTGAGTTTGGTCAGCACCTCGCTGAAGCCATGAACATAGAATTCCGTAATATTCCGTATACTACCTTCCATCGGTTTCACATGGCTTCCTTACTGGATCTCTTTGGGACACTTTCGGTCATAGGACATAAAGAAAGTTGACGTTGTGCTTCCCAACTCTTGAACCCATGCGGGACATCCCAAGCTGAACAGGAAGACGATGTCAAATGTAAGCAATGTTTCTAGCTTTGCATTTTGATCTGGAGATATCGCGAGACTTTGTCCACCTACTTGCACGCATGTGGGCATGGTATGATCATAGGTCTGTTCATCTGAAGTATTGATGGTGGATGGCTGTTGCTTTGAAGATAAACAAACCGCAAATACAAAGACACCACGTATACATACACGCTCACTTACGCATACATGCGAGTGCATGCGCATGTAATAGTTTGAGAACACGCATACTATTTATATCTAAAAATATACGAGCATGCCGCAAGACAAACTGAAAGGTAAAGGTACATATACAGCTATCTGTGCATGTATAAAGTATAGATGTACATCATTCTATATGGCTATGGGCCAACCAAATTAGATTGGATTTATGTATGTAAATCCCCTTCAAATATGATGACATTTGTTTTGACACATCCCCATCTATGTAAATATGATTGCATATAAGGTTAATATATAATTATAAATAAATATGTATATATATGTGTGTGTGTGTGTGCGTGTAGTAACTCCCAAAAAGATAGAAGTTGGTAAAATCCTAAGTAAATCCTAGTGATTACACCGGTTCTACCCTTTTTGGGCTGACCATATTTGTATAGTTGGATGATGTTGGATGATGTTGGATGATGTTGGATGATGTTGGATGATGTTGGATGATGTTGGATTACCATAGTTTCTACCGACTGTGGGGCCCCCCTAGTTATAAGTTGCCGTTTAAACCCCATCTAACTATAGATATAACATGATATAACTACATATAACTACCATAAACCCTAGTTATTGTAGTTACCTGTAATTAAACAGTGTCGAAACCAACTTAGCTATCTTGGGGGACCCACAGCTCGGGACCAGCTCGCTCTCCTCGGCCGCAGCTCGTCTGGGGCCAAGGCGCTGCTGAAACAGCCGTTTTCTGGCTGCAACTCGGTGGGGATCATCCAAGCTGGAGGGTTAAGCACTAATGGATGAACATAACCTGGGAAAACAAACGAAAAACCATTGAAAGGTACGGGGTACAATATGGTACAATCACTTGAAGATATGTTAATGAATCATAATGAATCTATAATCATAAATCATAAAGCTTGCTAGCTGCTAGTATCTTTCTGGAGAATATAGCCTAGTTTCATCCCAATAGAAGAAGAAAGAAAATCATCACCCCCCCCACAGTAGCTTGTTTTATTGGGGAGTACGACTCTAGTAGCCAATCTCTGGGTTCGAGCTTATTAATGTGGCATGCCCTTACTTAAGATGTCTTGAGATGATTTACACGATACTCCCATTTCTTGGCTGATAATTGCAGATGATTTATCATTATTGCGGATCCCCACATTACTAAATAAATGTGGTCTCAACCAATAAAAGCGATACACATAGGGACTTATGTATTTACATAACTAACCAGTTAACTAATCAACTCAACCAAGAAACAGGAGGACTGACTCACCCTAAGTTTCTCATTGACAGGAATGGTGTGATTTACCCAGCAATTTCTAGGGACTTATATAACTACGTAGTAAGAAGAGTGACGTGTGCAAAAAAACCAGTTGGATTCACTGTGCCCAACAAACACCTAAAATGCTACCAAGAATGAGAGCCAAGCTACTGAAGGCTGGCAGCCACCTTGCCATGGTGCCATGGGTTCGTCAATTTTGATCATCATCCTAGGTAAGGTGGAAAACAACACTTCACACCACCAACATTAAATGCTACTACTGCTATTAGTAAAAATTCAATTCTGTTGGTTTGAGAGGAGAAAATCAGAGCCATCTAAATAGGTGAGCTGTTCAAAAAATGAGATGTTCCCTCTGATTCTGGTGGCTATGGAAATTGAGATTCAGTGCCAGGTAAAAATGATCAGGGAGCATTCAAATGTGCTAAACATTGGGGCACCAAAAAAACATCAACAAATCCACCAAGCTGACTCTCTTCCGAGCTTTCGGGGGCCCAAGCTGCCGCAAGCCTGATATAGCAAGAGAAGGCAATGCAAACCGGCAGCAAAAGCCAGCGCCCGCCCATGCAGGGTCGAGGTATAACCCTTGGGAATCTGCTGGTGTTTTGACATTTTTCAGCCAAGATATTCCATCGTCCATTTTAGCGAGGCAGCAAGTTAGGATCTGGATGCATGTCTCGTGCTGTTGCATTCGTGACTGTGTCCTGGCTCCCTGATGGGGATGAGTTGGGAGACTTTGACATCCTTCAAAGGGGGGATGGGGATGGGGAAGATATCTGATATAGACTGATTGTGAAGAGCCAAAAGGGATGGACGGCAAGCAACTACTAGGCATGTTTGGAAAGTAGCGCATAGACTTCTACCAAAGGTTCGATGACAAGTTCAAATGGGACCCAGCTTCATGAGTTCCACTTATTCAAGAGATTCTGCATCTATGATACCTTTAGTCATGAGTCTCTTGAGTCAACAAAATGAGGAGTAATTATCAGAATCTACTGACATCCATCTGGTGGGCGCAGCAGGAGCGGGACCATCCATTGGTTTCCGACATCTGTAAGTGTAATCAAGATGCTTGGGACTGCCATGTTTAAGGAACAAACTTTCCGTGGTGCTATTCGCCGCGTTCCGAGTATTCCTGCTCATTGTGGCTTGACATGTCAATGGGCGTGGGTTTTTGACCCCTCCTTGCTCAAACACCATTCTTGGCAGTCGCGCTGGTTATGTCAGAAATCGTCACTGATGGTTCTGCAACATGCAGGTATCATGTTGATTACTTTTGTGACATTCCGTGCTTTTGTTGGAAAGACCAATGCTTGACCTATCTGGGTCTTATCAATCATATCAATAATGATGATTGAAAAATGGATTTAGGGGACCTTTCCCTGATTCAGAAAAACCTTGAGAATTATTCCTGCTTGCGCCACCATTGCACGACCACAACGGAGCTTTCGAAATGAGCTTGTGCAAGCTTGCGGGAGCTTGCGCGAACAAGTTTTGCTGAGATTTGGGGCATTGTTGCATGCGGAATGCCAGCGCGGAGCAGATTTTTGATTTGGTTTCAAATGGCTCATGCTATTTTGATATGTTTTGAGCTTGGTCCCGTTCAATTTTTCAAAAGAAATTCCAAGGAATATTAGCGTGGTCTTGCCGGCAGAACGCGGCCCATCTCCCAATCGGGTGCAGCTCTTCCCAGAACTTCCCGGACCTTGGCCAACACCAGGCTCTTCTGTAGGGCTGCACTCTGCTGCTCCTTCTCGTAAAGGGCCTGACAGCAGAGCGGAACCAGCCGAAAAAAATGGCCCCATCCAGAAAACATGTATATAATATATATATATATTATAAGAGATTTAGGAATCATAACAGGTACAATGGAACATAACGGAAAGTAGACAAGATTCCACCAATCAGCTTTTTACCCCGACAGGAGGTCTCTTGACCAATTCAAGGTAACAAATTCACAAGGTCCTATTGATCCTCTGTCTTTGTTTCTAGTGTTTCTGTCTTCAAGACCATGCTTATGCAGCTCCACATTTCGACATCTTGCTTGAACTCACTAGATGTGAGTTTGCAATGATGGGCCCCTATCATGTACGATACTTGCGGGGTCGTGACCCACAGTTGCAAGTTGTCGTAGCATGGTATACCTGGTACGGGCCATCATTCTCGATGCTGCAGCCTTTTTCAGCGCGGCTGGAGCACCTGTTTACAGTCTATTACTGATCAAAACCTGCCACGGGGGCGCACCCTGCGCGAATCGTTGCTACGCAGGACGACCTCCGGGTTTCTGATATACGACCGGCCAGTGTCACCTTTGAAGTTGTTCAAGCTTGAAGTTGTTCAAGCTACATCTTGCCGAATCTTGCCATGAAAATTATCTTCAAAAAACCGTGTAATTGTATAAAAGCTGATTTGCATGCAAGTATCATGGATGGTTTTTCATACATTGAGGAGACCCGCTCAACTGGGCTTTCAGGAGGGTGCTGATATTTTATTCCAGCCACACCGACCGTTGACAGCGCCCTATGGAATGCCATAAGTGGTGCAAAACTCCTGTAGTTTCGAAACTTCATGGCGTGCTGGGTCTTTCACCTGAGTTCCATCAGCACCGCATGCGGGAAAGGTGCTGTAAAAAAAAACTTCCCCAATATTGGCATCTATTGACCATTGGCATCTATCCGGTTGCAATTTTACTTTAGGCCCAGTTTAGAGAAGTGTGTTTTCTCAAAGCCTAGCGCTCTTTTCGAACAGATCTGCTCCAATTTCCGAAGCAGCTTCCATCGTGCCTTCGGCTCCCTCCAACCACCCCGATTGGATCACCCAAACAATCCGAAACAATGTTTCTGCAAGATGTCTTCGAATCTTTTCCCAACGTTAACTATATATCCTATTAAATCCTATCATTATAGGTGTGGCTCATGTTGCCATTCGGGTGCCAAAAGGGTGACACAGAAACATTGAAACACGCAATCCAAATACGTAAGACATTGCGAATCTAATGCATGTCTTACGATATTGTGTAATAATTGTAATACATTGCATGTTTTGCTGGGTAACTATAATTCTCACATTTTCATGGCAAATGATCAAAGTCTTCACCAAGGTTTATCCACTCGGTGAGACCTTCCATCCCGACACTTGGGGGCTTCCAACTCGAAGATTTCAATGGGAAAACAATCTTGATCAATCTCCATTTTTCTAAAAGGTATTAGAACCCCCAAACTAGCCTATGCCTATGATTTGGTGGATCAACAACTTACCTTTTGGTTTTGTGCATCAGTGACTGCCATGGGATATCAAGCCCCCGGCCAATTACAGTAGGGGGGTGGGGTTGGAGCCACCCATTTAGTACATTTAGTAGTGGCCCCGGTATTTTTCTCTACGAAATGCCGGACCTGAGTCTACAAAATGGGTTGCCGAGGCTCCTCTCCGCAGAAGCTGTACCAAGTCTCCTTCTGTTCTGGGCTGCCCCTCTGGTATGTCCTGGCCGCCGAGCTAGTGACGACCTAGTGACCATGGACCATTTGAAAATAGCGAATATGATGTGAACAAAGATATAGTAGGTGCAATATATCATATATAAAACAGTATATACATATATATATATGATAGAATACACAATATATGTATAATACAATACGTACACACACACATATATGAGCGATTGTGAAAACCCTAGGTTCACGGAAAGGACATTCACAAATTTGGGAAGGTCCCATCGCTTACCACACGTTTGTACAATAATGATATATGGTAAACTTGGGGGGTATCGCTTGCAGGAAACTGCTGCATTTATATATACGTATATATATGTGATGAACTATGAATAATATGTGATATTTGGGTATCGCTAATATGGATATTAGAGAAATATGATGACATAACCTTGAAAAGGGGTATCGCTAATTTGGGAAGGTCCCATCGCTTACCTTGTGTTTTTAACAATTTCCATCACTTTCCATAAACCAATGTCCGTCGAATACATATTTAGTATTGCCGGGGTTTTTACGGTTGCTCATATATATATATAGATATAGATATAGATATAGATATATATAGATATAGATATAGATATATATATATACATATATATATATATACATATATATATATATATATTATGTTCATTCAGTGATTTACTTAATCTATTTATCTACTTATATTTATTTATTATGCAGTTTATGTACAGTACATATCAGTACATGGTAGACACTCATAGACATAGATGTACAATTATGTCATCCTTCCGTCCTGAGTTAAGGCCGACCCACAAGGTCAACAGACCCATGTCTCGGGATATATGTGGAAGTATATACCCTCTAGTCATCTATCCATATTTATCCATTTGCATCCATATTTATCCATATTCATCCTAGCTACGGACAAATCATTTAGGGAAAGCCACTCATTTCCATAGCTATGTTAGTTTACAAGAAGGTGTACCCGGTGTACCCCCTATTTTACCATATTTTACCTATCCTTTACCCAACAAAGAAACCATTGACATCACCCATCACTGGACGTTGCCACCGAGCGGCTTCACCCGGTCCACCAACTTCGTCTTCTCAGGGTCCATGTTGCGCGGTCTCTTCTTGCCCCCGCCATACCAGGCCTCGGCAGTAGATAAAAATTTTGGGTCTTGGAATGGCCTGGTGATGGGGGGTTTGAAGGGCTTACACTGGGTGGCTTAGCATAGAATCTATATAATTTAATTATAATATATATATATATATTATACATGTCTTAAGAATTGGGTTGTATCAATTGAATCACTGCCACTGCTTAGTTCAACTTACCCTCCGGTAATCAAGCATGGCTGGCTGGGAAACCGAACTGAACGGGCATTAAAATGGGAAAATCCTCCATAAACAAATGGTGGATTCTCCGTTGCTATGTTTGATTGCCAAAGGGTAGCATCAAAAACGTCCAACTTAGTGTAATAAGCACAACAAACCAGAACAACAATCGGGTATGGCAATATGGCAGGTTGAGTGGTCTTGAAACAGAACGGGGTCAAGAATGAAGGAAACTTCATAGCCCACGGATGTTTCTTCGTCAGCTTGTGATATATTCTGTGACCCAGTTGGTGCCATCCGAGCTGGGTGCAAATGCATCATAGGTGGCGTGGCAAACCAAATGCAGCAATAAACCGTGCCTGATGCTACCACGTGTGTGTGTGTTGTGTAACTAAACTAAGCCGCCAATCGGTAATATGTATCCATGCTATATTACCAATTACATATTGATCTAACTCAATTATTACTTTGCCAACCCGACAATAAACCATCCCCACTTTACTGAAATGGGAGGGGTTGAAGTCATCCCTCACTTTCAGTTGAATGCCGGTCATCACTGTTATTACCAATCCGATTACCTACATGGCTGTGTCTGGAAACGGGGTCTACTCCGAAAACAGCTATTGAAAGGGCAAAATGATCATAAACTTGGGAGTTTGGGGCCGGGTACCCTATTTTCAGACAAACGCCCCAAAAAAAAGATTTGGGATACTACGACTATTGACCATCAAAGGATAATAAAGGGCCATAAAGACCCCCCAAGGCCACGCCGTGCTGGACAAGCAGCCCACATCTGGTACCTGGACGCCACTCCCCGCGAATTTTCCGGACCTCTCTGCCCTAATTTTGTTGATATCAAATCATATCATCCAAATCATATATCGTGTATCATTGTATCATGCAATGGGTCAGGTATGTCTTGATTATATATTTGTCGGTCTGGATCTTGAAAATTAAGATGACTGAATGGTGAATGGGGATGGAAAGTGGTAGATACCCATTGGATGCATGGCATGAAATGTTATGCTGGGACATGATTCAGTATGACAGGAAAATGCATCTGATAGCCAGTTATTATATGTCGATACCCGATACAAATGGATTTTGATCGAAGAAACCAAATCACACACTAGTCAAAGGTTCGGGTGTCTGACAGCCAATGGCATCATGATGTCAATAAAAACGATCCTATATAATATTACATAATATTATATAATAATATGTAGTAGTAATAATCATCATAAAATCATAATCAGTAATCAGTAATCAACAAGTAAATCAATCGCCATGACAAGACGCATCATCTTCCCCTGGCCGTTGGTGTTGGGTGGTTTGCCGGTCCATGGCGCCACTTTCAGGGTCCGTCCTGGGGGTGTGGCACAGGGCCCGAGGCCGATACGGAGATCCAGCGTGAAGATGCGTGAAGTATGTTCATGAAGCATAGTAAGATATAGTCAAATTATGTCACATTCACATGATTTTTACAATGCAATTTCTATTTGCACATGAGCTGCCAGTAGGTGAAAGAGTAAATATAGTCTGGATCGATGCTCTAACGCCTATTCTTGTCCAAAATAATATCCAGTTTAAGATGGTTCAAACCAACCCAGTAACTCTTGCATCTCTTGTATCCCTAAGATTTTGGAGGCCGAAATAGGGAACTCCACCTCTCGCCCAACCCCCATATCCCAACCCCCATCCCCCATCCGCAGGGGCAGTCCATCCATACTGGACTCGTTGAGTGCTGCAATGGCGCCTAGGGCTTCTGCCTCCGTCTTATAGCGCACATAGCCTGCCACCGGCACTGGCCACCAAGTGGGCCTATCCCATGTATAAAGGGGGTTACAACTACGATTGCTAACCAACTTAGTAACTAGGAAGTGGGAAGATCCTCCAAGTATGTAATATCCATGTATCAGGTACCCAAATTACATGGATCAAAACCCACCCTGGTGAACAGCAGAATAGATGGTCGAATAGATATTCATCCGCCCAAATATGGAGCGTTCGGGAAGGGGTCGGTTATGGGTCATCTCATGTTGCGCTGAGGCAACTTGGAACACGAGGCCGAGAAGCCAACACCCTTGGGCTCACCCCAGTCGCTGTAAAGGACATCACAATACTCGATCTCACCAGCGGCCCTTGGTGTTTCAGAAGATGGTGAGCTACAGTACCGGGCTGTGATAAGCATTTCAGAATAGTTTCAGCAAGTCATTTATGGATATGTATGGAGTGAATGAATGTGAATGAGGGCAAATATGTATAAGTACGCCATGGAATTATTGGCACACAGTTCTTTGGTATGGTTTGTGATATTGGGTTATGATCCGGTTCGGATGCAAAAACAGGGTAGAATAGGGCACAATCCGCGCTCAACTGTCAAATTATATAATTACCTGCCATTGATGTCCCAGTGTCGCCGTGGCTCTTGCACAAAAAAAACGCACATAAACAGTATACAGATACTGACTACAAATATTGACACCATGAAAACCTACGCCTACGAAAGTGTACAGTGTTCAGCCCAATGACATAAACGATCCCCAAACGGCTAGGGTTCAACGAAGAATTTTTAGGTGATGGATGGCACAATGGCACCTCCGGTCCAGGGTGTCCAATCTCAGACTCAAAAAAAACGCTAAGCAAACACCAAGTTGACATAAGTTGACTATATATTGGTAATTATTGGAATATTATTGACATATTGGTAATTATTGGAGTATTATTGGTATGTTTAATATATTGGAATAATATATTGGCAATTATTGGAATATGATTGACATATTGGTAATTATTGGAATATTATTGGTATGTTTTAAAAATGGGCGACATACCTCAAATTTGTTTATCAAATTTCGAGTGCGAAATTGAATTGTTTGGGAATCCCCCTTGTATCCTCCCATGGTTGGGACAACCCCAACGTCCGTGTGCCAGGCAGCTTCATGTGATCCTTGAGTTCTTGCCACTCAGCATGCTTGGGAAGACCTCCGACATACACGCCACGGCCATCTGACTCCACCCCTGGGCCGCCATGGCCGGCCGCCATCATCATGGCTTGGACGGTGGACGGTGGACGGTCGAGCCACTGTTGAGCCACTCGACTCGGCTGTCTGAGCCAGGCGCAAGGGGGTCTCTGGACAGACGATATGCATGTTGCCTCATTGTAGACACATATAGACAGCATGATTTCCTAGAAGAGACTAAATCGCATAGCAGGTATAGCATAATTACGTGTATATTACGTGTCTATTTTCCATTGCTTTCAGAGCCATGTCACTTCCGGTGCGCTGAAAACCCACCGGACCCACCTTCTTCACTCGACCTCGTTCTGCTTCGAGATCGCAGGCACGTTTGTGAGCCTCAGCTTAAGGCATAAGTTCAGGGATCATATGCCTCACATCCAGTCGAAAGTGCATGATCTTCCACTGTTTGGATGCAAATATTGCCGAGAAAAATGGTCTTCAACATCTCCAACATCTCATCCAAGAAAGGCCGAAAACAAAAGGGCTTCACACAAAAAAAAGTCTATCAGTGAGTCTATCAGTATCTATAAGTCGTATTTAAAAAACACCTATCTATCCCCAATTATCCCCAGCTTCATAGAAGTCTCACCTGGTCCCCATCCACCAGCCTCCTTTCGCGCCACACTGGTGTCCTCCAGCTCCTTGGAAGTGGGGGACGCTCCCCTGATCTCCAGGTGTCAAACATGGGGAAAACCCCGTGAAAAATGGAGGTTTCAATTGGAAAAACATGGGAAAAACATGGGAAATATAGGGAAATCGCCATAACTGAAGCTCCATGAAGCTTCAGTTCGCAGGAAAAATCATCCAACTAAATCGCGGGGAATTTTCTGGCAAGCCACCTTTGAGGACAGCAGGAGGACGTATATATATATATATATATATATAAACTATATAAATAATATATTATATATACATGTGTGTGTGCGTGTGTGTGTGTGTGCGTGGTTTTTTTACATATTTGTTTTACCCACCTTTGGCTGAAGAACAAGAGCGCCACATTTCAAGAAAACAATATGACACCACGTTTTTCTAGTCATCATATCTTTTCCTTAAAACGAATCCAATGAACCTCAGGCAATAACTTGGGAATAACTGTTCAAGTTCACGCCCATCCTGCGACAGTGTCTGTCTGACCCAACTAAAGCACTGAAAGTGGACACTTGTGTGCACATACCTTGCTTCACAAACCAGCAACCAGCGCATAAAATCCTATAAATCATTGTACAATATGCATATCCATACATATATATATAATTGTATATATATATATATAATAAACATATGTAATGAATTATAATGATATATAAACATGCGAACAAGAACCTGCGGACTCCCCGCAGCTGTGCCTTCTGCAACTGTTCAATCTTCCTTTCGTGACTTTGCAGTTGGGCCTTGAGGGGTGGCCAGGTTGCCACCACCACTGGCACTGCTATCTCTCAACGGGTTGAAACCATAACCACTTCAGAATTGTAAATCACAACCACTGTTCAAATAAAGTCAGGGATCGTCCCAGTACTTCCTGTATCTCAAACGCCAGGGACTGCCAGGGACCCAGGCATGCGCATTTGCTGCTGCCTGATCAACGGCAGCAGGTTGGGTGATCTCACTGGGTGTGCTGTATACCACCGGGGATATACAACCAACAGGGGTGACTACAGTTTTGGAGCTCCGACTCAGTTGTCATTGGCAGTCGCACTCTACTGGTTGCTTTCACTAGCAACAAATTTTTGCCAGACGGTCCACGGATGTGTTTCTGACACCTAGACCTAGCAGCCAGCAAAGCAAATCAAAGCAAGAGGGGCAACTAGTTTAAGTGAACCGCTATGTAGTTCAAACAACTACATCACCACTAAGTTGGTGTTTCTATCTGGAATTCCCTATCTATTGGGGTCTATCGTGTACTTATCCCAGGGGTACCAGGGCATCCTGTTGACGCCTTCTTGGCTACGACCAAGTCTGCGGCTCGTGCCTGAGCAAAGAGTGGCGACTCGGTTTGCAACCTTTATCCACACACAAGTTGTTGCTGAATATCTACAGTACATAGACAGATAGATATAGAATGATATAGATTAGATAGGTAGACAGGTAAATAGATGGATGGATAAATATGGATAAACAGAAAATAGATTAGACTGATACATCTTGATGTCACCTTGTGAATTGGTGTTGAGATCTTGATTCTTACCTGTGAATCTCGGATTTGCATACCAAATTCTTCCAGTGGAAGCTGGGTGTTTCGTTTAT